GATTTGATTTTTGACCAACTCTTGAAGTTAACAAGCCTTCCACTGAGATTCTTTCCTAGCAGGTATAAATGGAATCCGTTACATCTTTATCTCTGCGAACACTTCCAACCCCAAAACACACACACGCACACATACCGACACACACGCACACAAAGTACACTCACACATGACATACACTCACACACCGACGCACGCATGCACGCACACACACACACAAACTCCTGTTAAGTTTACTGCTTTGAACATCCTCCCATATTTGCCAAGAGATTAGGACCAAGGACAGGGAAAACCTCTCCGCTGCTCTCGATTTCAAACACAAACACAGCCAAACCCCCTACTGATACTACTCATGAGTCAAATCCTATAATTTGAAACCAATGGTTTAATTTTGAAGAGACATGCTGTCAGAAACCAAATAAAAATATATATTTTTTGTTGATTCAAAATCAGTTACTACTTATTTTATCCTCTGACTAGAGATGTGCTGACTGTCACTCTTCTCAATAAAGTATATTGGAGCAACGTCAGAAACAGGTTGCAAGCCTAGTTCTCCCTAATCCTTTACGACCCAAACCCTGACCCACCTTTATCTAGCCTCCCACCAGATGTGAGACAGAGACAATGAATCCCAAGCTGGATTTTATACCTGTGCTTGAAAAGCAAAGGGGAGGCAGACTGAGGACGTCAATGGGAGGGGCAGGATAAGGGAGAGAGAAAGAGAGCTGTTAGATGTTGCGGCCCCTCCAGTCCTTTGGGAGTTGCAGAAGGCAGGGTGGTAAAAACGAGTTCATCCCTCATGAATGAGGGAGGAAAAGAAGGAGAGAAATGTCCCCCAGGGAGTAAATGAGTACCTGATGAAAAGCAAGCTGCTAATGGGGACTTCCCCATTTGATCATTACTACCCTTTCCACCATTATTACCCTCACCAGGGAAGAGGTCATCCAACACAGGCTCCTAACCCTTTCTAGAAAAGCAACAAACTTAGATAACACTCCAGCTGTCAGTTGCTAAGTTCTGGGATTTCTGGGTAAACTAGGAAAACTAGGAAACTACGTATATGTGGGCCACTCACATCCACCAAGGCTATACATTAAGAGTCTTAGATTAAAGAATATCCCTGTCTCCAGGGATTAATAGGGGTCATTGTAATCACAAGCCCATAATAGATGAACTGCATGTTGGAGTTGGGAACTGACCAACACAGACTCCATATTGATGCAGAGGTCGTTGGTTTCACAATCTCTGGGTCAACTAAAGTGGTGAAGGATTTACCTACACATGTGGTAAATAAGACTAGTAAACTATGGGGTCAATTTGTGATGTGTGTATACTAAACGCTATTCTAAAATAGTATACAGGAAATCCACTACTATAACATCACCCAAAATACAATGAATCCTCCAATGAGTTTGAGTGTGGAGAAATGGCTAGCTCATGACATTGCAAGACAGTGAGATGAAAAAAATGGAGAGGCGGGTAAGGTAGGAATGGAAAAGGAGCGCTGGAATAGCCATTACAGGTGTACTACTGACTGAATCATGGGCCTGCTATAATTTTGTTTCCACTGAAACCAGAGAGTAGCAAAAATATGCTCTGGAATGGTCTTTCTCCAAAGAGCTGAGAGAGGGAGTGTATGTAAGCTTACATTGGTTGGCCACCTTCCCACTCTGCATGAACCTTGCCGTTTGAGGTGTCAACTTTGCAGAGTCTTCTGTGCTACGTATCACTGATGGGATATACATTTACATTTTAGTCATTTAGCAGACGCTCTTATCCAGAGCGACTTACATTTAGTGAGTGCATACATTATTTTTTTTATACTGTCCCCCCGTGGGAATCGAACCTACAACCCTGGCGTTGCAAACGCCATGCTCTACCAACTGAGCTACATCCCGATATGTAAACATGGATGTTTTCTTTTCAATTCCTTTGAAACCTGTAGGGATTTGATAGCCACTATAATATTGATTGATCAGTCAGGCCTCTTCTGCTTCATCTGAGGGCTTTTTATAGTACATAAAACATTAACCTGTCTTAGATCAGGAAAGTTGTGAAAGGATGTGGGCTGTAACTTAACCTGTTGTTGCCAAGTATGATTTATTATGTTATAGTGGAAATCAGTGGGGGAAAGTGTAACTCTCCATGTCACCTGCAGAATTTGCAGTCTGTTGTGAATTAGGAAATAGGGCTGGGCATTATTAATCCTACCAGATCTATGGTTTCACATACATTCAATGGATCAACCAGGGTCTTGCTACATTAGTGTCTCCTCTCACACCCACCCACCCACCAAACCTTTGGAAACCCCAAACTCAGAGTCATCCCTGACTTCTTTCCCACGATTTGTTCCAATCAGTCTCCCACAAATTACAGGGCTCTAGCATGAAGTCATCAGAGTGATCTGCAGTGGCCAGTGGAAATGTTGAGTATTGGCTGAATCCTAACATGCGAGATGTGTACAAGTAACAAACTGTTGCTTATAGCTCCCAATGCACCACCCATCACGGCAGCTGGTGCATAGGCCAGAAACAAAGGATATCCACTTCTGGCAGTCTTTGGCCATATTCCCAATGCATGATTAATGCAAATTCAGTTACACATGCATTTCTCAAGTTGTGTGTGGGTTGTGTGTGGGTTGTGTGTGGGTTGTGTGTGGGTTGTGTGTGGGTTGTGTGTGGGTATGCATTATTGAGTTATCGATTTAATGCATGAAACAGCTGGTTAGACTTCAACATGTACTGTACAGTGTGCAGGGAAATAAATCATATGGAATAAATGTTTCATCCAAACCGGTTATCAACACTCTAGAATGATCTTGGTGTCAGAGGAACAGGAGTAAAATACCCAGGAAGCTTCTCTGAGTACTGTGACAGGTCATTCAAAGAGAAAAATGGGTAAGGGATTTGTGATCCCACGTCTCTCATCTTCAGTTATGTCCTGTCTTGTCTGATGTCAAATAATGATGAGTGAGAAAGTTATAGACTCGCAAATATCATTGCAATGGTGAGAGGTTAGCATGTCTTGGGGTATGATATTTGTCTGTAACTTTCTCACTCATCATTATCCACGATTCATTCAGGGTTATCCATAATCATGGTAGCATCACATTAATGCAGAAGTGTTTAGAAACATATTCTATTCTTTGTTCTTCTCCAATATAAGTGACTCCAAAATGACACAATACATTATTTACCATTCATTTCTATTGGGCACAAAATTATCTGAAACACAACCAAAACAAAACAGCAAATGCATCAAACAAGTTGTAGAGTCACAAGCTTGATGTAGTCATTGTGTGCTATGAATATGGGACCAAATACTTAACTTGATACTACTTTAATACACATAAATGAATTTATCCCAATACTTTTGGTCACCTAAAATGGGAGGACAATGTACAAAACGTGCTGTAATTTGTAAACGGCTCACCCGATATGAATGAAAATACCCTCACATTAAAGCTGAATGTCTGCACTTTAACCTCGTAGTCATTGTATCATTTCATCCAAAGTGCTGGAGTACAGAGCCAAAACTACAAAAAATGTGTCACTGTCCCAATACTTTTGGAGCTCACTGTATATTGTTTCTAGATTGTCAAAAGCCCTCTATCATTACCAGTAAAGTCATGTTTTATCTATTTGCTGTGAAAATGCCTGCTACGTATTCATTTTGGATGGGTACAGAGGTGCAACATAAAACTAGAAACGGTCAGGGTCTTTGGCTCAGTGGGGGGGAAGTTATTTCAGGTCTCTGGTAGGTTGATGTCATTCTTTGAGGCCACAGTAGTATCAACAATACATATCTGCATATGTTAAACATATTATCTTGTCTTGAACTGTTTTATGGGAAAAATAAGGTTCTGTGGGGCAGTGTGGGCATAACGGACTGCACACAAAATGTATTGCACAGGAACACACATAGCATGGGAGTGCCAAAAACATAGGCCAAGTGTTAAAGTATATATATAATCTAATGAGTCAGGTGCAGGAGGGTAAATCACAGAATAACAGGCTTTATTCCGCAACCACAGAGTTACGCAGTAACGTGTCAAAACACTCCAGTGCACAAAACAGGCGCACTGGAAAATACAAGGCACAAAGGGAAATATCCCGGCGATACACAATACAAGGAGCTCCACCGAGCTTCACTATCCTCCACAATAAACAATCACACACAAAGACAAGGGGGCAGAGGGAACACTTATGCATGTACTGATGAGGGGATATGAACCAGGTGTGTGTAATTATCAAGACAAAACAAATGGAATGATGAGATGAGGAGCGGCAGTGGCTAGAAGGCCGGTGACGACGAACGCCGAAGCCTGCCCGAACAAGGAGAGGTGGCAGCTTCGGAGGAAGTTGTGACAATAATTGTTGATCCAAGGAAATGGTGCTTTGTAGGACACTCTTTCAAGGGCTAATGGCTACATGGAGCTCAGTTTGTGCTGTGAAGTCAATTACCAGCCAAAATTACCCTGAGTGCTATGGTTAGGTTAATCACAATCGTTTAACATCCAGCTGACACTACATTTTTCATAAAGTCTCCAAAGACCTCCCGTGATGCAAAAGCAAGCTACAGCATGTATAGCATATTAGGGTTTAGATAGCAGGATAAAAATGCACTAACTTTCAATGGCTGACTGTGGCTCACAGTCAGTGTATGGTCACTTTTCTGGGCAGGACGATACACTGTGGGTTAAGCGTTAGTCTGGACGCTTGAAGTTATAAAGTTTTGTTGACTTTATTTGTTGACCTATTTTTACCGTCTTGTAATTCACGGAGTGCACAGGTTATTGTCTGCCTTTGCTAATTTTACAGGCATGGACGTCTCCCCAGAGTGACTATGTGAAAATGTAGTTATCCACGTGCATTACTGAGGCTGTCTTTAACTTAATGTATTTTTGTTTACCTTCCAGGGCTCCTACACTTATCCAGATTTGACCAGACTTCCAAGTTTTATCCCAGTATTCTTAAAACTGAGTCCAGTTGAGAGAGACAAAAATGGGTACTAAAAGCTTTCTAGGGTGCATCTTCCTGACTCTCCTTCTCAACCTCTGCCAAGCTGGGCTGGTGAGAAAAATACTTAGGCATAAACGGACGACCCTGACAACCCCCGGCGGAGACAATGTGACCCTGACCAGCGCTGACCAACCAGTGGTCTTCAACCACGTCTACAACATCAATGTCCCCACCGGCTCCTTGTGCTCAGTGGACCTGGATGCCCCAGGAAACACCAGCCTTGAGCCCCAGGACGCAGCTCAGCCTTCAGGCCTCCGCACCACCGAACATACCCTGGATGGGCAGAACCAGATAGTTTTCACTCACCGCATTAACATTCCTCAGCAGGAGTGTGCATGCACTGATGGGCTCCCGGATCTGAAGGACCTCCTGGGCAGGTTGGAGATGCTGGAGGGAGAGGTGTCCACGCTGAGAGATCAATGCACTACTGGAGACGCTGGCTGCTGCAGCGCTCAGCCAGTCACAGGTACTGTATACGTGTCAACCTAATCACCCCCAGCTTCTGATTGGCTCATTCAACCCCTTTCCTAGTATAGCATACTTAGGATGACTGTCACCCATAGAGAATGATAGAGGACTCATCATTGTATCTGTCCCATCATGGTGTATGTGAGCATAAGGGCAGTGCCATTGAGGCCATCTCCATTTTGAAGTAGTACATCTTCTTCTTCTACTACTTCTATGTGTTGGTAAACAAACTGAAAGGGTATATACTGCCACCTGGAGTGAGTTTGAACAGGTATAAAGCCAAGGTTAGTGATTTACTGTCACCTGCAGTTATGGAATGTTTGCTCACAAGTATAATGAATTGGCTGATCCCTCCTGATGACCTGGATGGAATTATGTGATCCTTCCTTAACCCATAGGAAGTCCCACCCAGTTGACCACTTCAAAATGGTGAAAGTCCTGAATGGCGCTGCCCATGCTACAATGGACTTTTGGGCATTAGAGTCCTCTATCATTCTCTATGCTGTCACATCACCTCTCCTTCCTTCAGAGGCATATCTATTTTACTCAACCTCTAGGAAGCGTCAATGGAATTGAATGTGGGATTGGGTTTAGCAGTGGTTTCTCTTTTACACCATAGGGAAAGGGAATGACCATAGACATACTCAGTGCTGATTTGTACTGTAGGTTGTTATTCAGAACATAATTGTCCTGTCTATGATTACAGTCCTCTCTTGATTACAATATTTTAAAATTACATTTGTTAGCAAAGTGAAAAGGGGGAAGAGGGGAATTATGATTCAGAGGGTTATAATCTCTAAACTGCTCTTTTAGGTGAGGTGGGGACCAAGCCTTACTGCAATGGCCGTGGAAACTACAGTGCTGACACCTGTGGTTGCATTTGCGAGCCTGGCTGGAAGGGACCCAACTGCACCGAGTCTGAATGCCCCAACAACTGCCAGGACCAAGGTCGCTGTGTGGACGGGAAGTGCGTCTGCTTTGAGGGCTTTGGCGGGGATGACTGTTCACTCAAGGTTTGCAAAGTGGACTGTGGTGGGAACGGACAATGCATTGGCGGGGTCTGTGTCTGTGCCGAGGGTTACAATGGAGAGGACTGTTCTCAGACAGACTGCCTGAACAACTGCCTAAGCCATGGAAAGTGTGTGGACGGGGAGTGTGTGTGTGAAGAGCCCTGGACGGGCTACGACTGCTCCGAACTCATCTGCCCCAATGACTGCTACGACCGCGGCCGCTGCGTCAACGGAACCTGCTACTGCGAAGAAGGATTCACCGGGGAGGACTGTGGGGAGAAAACCTGCCCAAGCGACTGCCTGGGAAATGGTTTCTGTGTGGACGGCCAGTGTGTCTGCAGCGCTGGCTATACTGGAGAGGACTGCTCCGAGCTCACTTGCCCCGGTGACTGCAATGATAGAGGTGTCTGCTTCAACGGCATGTGTATCTGCAATGCTGGCTACCAAGGAGAGGATTGTAGCCAGCTGGCTTGCCCCAACAACTGCCACAACAGGGGACAGTGTGTCAACGGACAGTGCATCTGCAATGTAGGCTACCAGGGAGAGGACTGCTCTGAGCTCTCCTGCCCCAACAACTGCCTCAACCGGGGCCGCTGTGTCAATGGACAGTGTGTGTGCGATGAAGGGTTCGGTGGTGAGGACTGCAGCATCAAGACCTGCCCCTCGGACTGCTACGGCAGTGGAGACTGTGTGGATGGCCGGTGTGTCTGCTATGCTGGCTTCACCGGTGAGGACTGCAGCGAGCTGAGCTGCCCCAACAACTGCCTGAGCCGCGGACGCTGCGTTGACGGGCAGTGCGTCTGCGACGAGGGCTTCACAGGGGAAGACTGCACTGAGAAGCACTGTCCCAATGACTGCCTGGGCCGGGGATACTGCGTGGATGGCAAATGTGTCTGCCAGGAGGGCTATGCGGGTGTTGACTGCTCTGAACTCACCTGCCCTGATAACTGCAACAACAGGGGGCACTGTGTTAATGGGAAGTGCATGTGTGAGGTGGGATACGTGGGAGACAACTGTGGAGAGCTGAGCTGCCTCAACAACTGCCAGGACAAGGGCCGCTGTGTGAATGGACATTGTCTCTGTGATGAGGGATACACTGGAGAAGACTGCTCAGAAGGTAAGAACGGTTTCATTCAACTGACCCATTGTTTGAGAGAAACATAAACTATGGATATTTTAGTTAAGTTCAATTCAGTACATTTTCTGCTTTCTGCTTGATATTTCCATGTGCTTGCTGAATGCCACATTAATTCCAATTACTTATTTTTCTGCAATTTTTTATACTCAAAACGTAATCAAATCCCAAAATAAAGAGAAACCATTTAAATTCATTTGAAAGAGATTTTGAGAAAAGGATTAAAAGTTCCATTATCATTTACTCTGATGCCAAAAGCTGTGTATTTAAGTCTGTACTTCTGTCTCAAAGATCTTTGGCAGTCCAGACCACTGCCAGATGTGAGTCTGGAGAAAGCATTTGCTTTGTGTAGAGGATTGTTAGTGGCTGAGGGCATGTGAAACCAAGTGTCTGAGACAATAAAAAGGTCAGACTATTTCCTGTCTCTCTCTTTTTCTTTCTTTCTCGCTCTCTCTAGTTTCCCCTCCAAAGGACCTGACTGTAACAGAGGTCACCACCGATACAGTGGATCTGACCTGGAACAATGAGATGCTGGTGACAGAGTATCTGATTGCCTATGTGCCCACTAGTCCTGGGGGTCTGTACCAGGAGTTCAGAGTGCCCGGAGACAAGACTGCTGCCACAGTCAGCGAGCTGGAACCCGGCATCGAGTACCTGATCAACGTCTATGCCATCCTCAGCAACAAGAAGAGCATCCCAATCAGCGCCAGGGTGGCCACACGTAGGTCATACCATCTTAATGGAGCTCATGTAATTAAAAATCATTCCTAAGATCTGAAGACTTGGGTCGCTGAGCAGTCTGAGTTCATGGGAATGTGGTCCTCTTTAGACTGTCAGGAAAATACAATTTGCACATATTAACCATAATCAAAATGCTATCCGGTACAGTGGAGAAACTTTCACAGCACAATGTTTACACAAGGCTTTCCTTTTAGAATAGGTGATAAAAAATATAAATAAACATTTCATTGATGCTTTACAATGTTTAAAACCCCACACTGTCTCGATGCACAATATTTTGGCATCAGGCATAATATATTCCTTTGTCTCACTCTGTCCTGTCAGATCTACCGGAGCCAGATGGCTTGAAGTTCAAATCGGTGAGGGACACCTCAGTAGAGGTGTTGTGGGATCAGCTGGACATTCCCTTTGATGCCTGGGAGCTCTATGTCCGCAACACGGTCAGTCTGTCCATCTCTCTGCAAGAGATCTCTGCTAGGTCTTGCCTAGGATTTCCCTAAACAGCAGGGACAAGACAACAGATTTGCACAAGCTGGCTTTGCTCTTCTAGTGAGATGTTGGCATGCTTGGCTAGTTATCATGTCCAGTAAAGTAGCAACAGCAATCAGGGTTGAGGTCAGTTCAGTTTTCAATTCAGCCAACTCAAAAAATGTAACACACACAACAAACCACAAATTGCCATCACACTACTAAAGCGTGCTGTACTTTACACATTACACAATGATGTTGATGTGAACCGGTACATGGAAAATAACTGTGCATTGCCTCAGATCACAAATCTGAGGGCTTATTGTTACTCACAGGCTTTCTGCTCAGCTGCAATATGGCAAAGGTCTGGGCAACCATAAACCATAAATCCCTTCTTCTTGTCCATGAGTACATTTTCACAAAGGGCTGTGTAACCTTGTTTTAACACTCCTCAGGGAGGTCTCGGGCTGCCAGGAAATGCTCAGTGGTGTTTATTCCTTTCACTGTCCTTATCCCATTCTCCTGTACACTTTGGCTTTATTGCCCCCATACATAAAATGTAAAGGACCTGTAATCGATGATCAGCACTCAATCACTATCACCATGTGCCAAATGGGATGTGTTTGCAGCATTCTTATGTGAGGCAATCAAAGACTTACAAAACATTCTGCTGCAAAAAATGACATATTGTAATAATTGGTATTGTTTAACTCAACATTAACTGTGTGAAAGATTTATTTCCTTGATCCAAAGGAAACATTGACGTGGCTTACCTCAGACTGTTGGGTATGTATGATACCAGAAATAGTGTTGTTTTAAAACCGTATATGTCTTTGACCTTTCAGAAAGAGGAGAATGGGAAGATCCTGACAACCCTTCCATCCTCCCAGACTATGTATAAGCAGTCAGGGCTCGGTCCTGGTCAGGAGTACGAGGTCTCAGTGGGCGTCATCAAGAACAATACCAGAGGACCTCAGTCTACTAAAATCATCACTACCAGTAAGCTTACACCACATTTTAATGTGTGTAATGTGTTTTTTCCCAGCCCGGTGTAGATCTGCATGTGCCAACTAAGAAGCCAACTCTTCTGACATTGTCATGCCTTACATGAATGAATCTGGACCAGGCTACTCCCATTCATCTTGGCGACTACACATATCCCATGGGTTAGATAAGGAAAATCCTTACATCTCACAAATCACACAAGCAGACAGAGGAACAACTGAATAGACCAATTTAACTGTCAGTCATAGTATTAGGTCTATATGGAAAAAGGGGCTAAACTCCCATTGTCATTTTACACAGTTAAATGTAAGTATTTTTGCAGAAGTGAACTACGCTGAATTTCAGGCCAACCTGCATTTTACAATAGAGAGTCTTTGTATTTTTCAAGGAGCCCTGCCATAAACTCTTGACAGGGGTTTACCGTAGCTGTTCCTGCACACTGTTACTCCATACATTATGGTCAAATGCTCCTCTTAATTTATGGAATAGGAATTGCTTTCTAGCATGAACTACCTCCTTGTGCATGGAAAAGCCATTTCATTTACAATTCCTCATTGATGGACCCTGTAAATATCTTCTCCTTTTGACTCCTGCATAATTTATTTGCTGGCTTAAGATCAGCACATCTTTCAGGAATGATGAATGATAGAAGTTGGTGATCAAGGCTATATGAACCTAAATGGCCTATATCACACACTGACGTCACCACAGAACAGAATTGAGCAATTTCTCCTGTGAAAATAAATCAGGAATTTACCAAAGATCCTATCAGAACACAGAACAGTGACATCACAACCAAACAGTCAGATTAACCAAACTTAATGACATTTGTTATGCCATAATTATAACATGTTGTGCAGGTCTTTAAATGTAGTTAAAATAAAACCAATACTCTTTGTGTCCTTGTGTCTTTTGCCCTAAGTGATCGCTTAAAAATGCATGGGATCATTGTCCATAACAAATAGAACATAACAGCCTATGCACAGATCGGTCATCCTCCTTGTGCCTCTCTCCCCCAGGGATTGATGGGCCCAGACAGGTAGAGGTTCGTGACGTGACAGACTGCTCGGGCTTAGTCACCTGGTTCCATCCCGTGGCCCAGGTGGACGGTGTCACCGTGTCCTACAGCCCCAGCTCTGACCCCACAGAGAGGACCAGCGTGGACCTGTCCACCTCAGACAAACAGTACAGCATCGACAGTCTCAGCCCAGACACTGAGTACCAGGTGTCCCTGGTCTCCAGGAGGGGAGACACCACCAGCGAGCCAGTCTCTGAGATATTCACCACAGGTAGGGGCATTATTATGTCCAATCCTGATAAGTTCACTCCTGATAAGTGTAAACTGTGTTTGATTAAACTAAATTTTTACTAACTTTTTTAAAGTGTTCCTGATAACAGCATGCGCTGGTTTACTGCACGCTTGGATTTATCAAGAGTTGACTGTAAACAGTCCTTATTGTACTCCTTTCTTCTTCTTGCATTGTTACAGACCTGGACGCCCCCAAGGACCTGCAGCCCCTGGGCCAGACAGACAACAGCGTCACACTGGAGTGGAGAAACAGCCGGGCAGATGTTGACAGCTACAGGGTGAAGTACAGCCCCATCTCTGGGGGTTCCCATGGCGAGGAGGTGTTCCCCCGTGGGTCAGGAGACAACACTCAGGCCACCATCACTGGTGAGGGTCAACCATGACCAAATCTTAACATGCAATTTTGTCAGTAGAAGGTATACGTTTTTTTTGCAAGTTAGGATTTGCTATGACAATCACAACATAGTTATTCTTTATGCCAATCAAATCAGGTACTTAAAAACATCTATGTTCTTCTCGATTACAGGACTGAAGCTATTCAGGTAATCAGGTACTCAAATCCATCTCTGTTCTCCCTAATTATAGGAATGAAACCGGGTACAGAATACGGGATTGGTGTGACCGCCGTGAAGAACGAGAGGGAGAGCCTGCCTGCCACTACAAATGCAGCCACCGGTGAGTGCATACGTCAACACATTCTCATAGGATAGCCACTGTTCAAAAGCTGTCCAAATACCCACCACCACAGTGACCACACACTCTGCAGCTGTAGATACAACTTTCAATGCAAACACATTATTAGGCAACAATATGAGGCAAACATAGGATATTTATGAGGTTCTGATATTTCCAAGTGCTTTGGCAAACAAACTTGTAAAAAGCAAGTTAAAACCTCAGGACTACATGGGGCAGATGTAATAGAAGAGAATGAAATATGATCCAAGATGGCGTAGCAGTGCGGTCGTATTTTCTGTAGTGTCCTTGTGTAAATAGCCAGTTTTTTAGTGTTTTGTCTATTTTGTTTATATTTTTCAATTTTACTTTTCATTCTTTAACTAAATATACTTTCCTGCAACCCGCCTCACCCAACGTGGAAAGGATTCTATTATTTCTTTATAACTTTTATCAAGAACCATAAGCTGAAACTAGTCTAGCTGCAACCGAATGGCTGTGGTAGCCAGCTAGCTAGCTACTTGCTATTAGCCACCGTTAGCGTCTTCACCATTGTAAGTGCCCTGCACTACCCACCAGCCAGCTCTAGCTCTAGCCTGGACAATTTGTCGGCCAGTCTGCACAGCGTGCTATCGACCCAGAGCATATCGTATTTTCTGCTGGAATCACTGGACCCTAGCGCCGGATCATCGCAACCAGCTAGCTGCAACCAAATGGCTGTTGTCGTTGGCTAATTACCATTGCCCCTTAGCAAGCACCAGTTAGCCTTGAGCTAGCCTTGAGCCAGGCCCATCTCCTGGCTATCTACCTCTCTGTCAACCAGACGGGACCTCCTAGTGTTGACACGGAGCCCCGCCGATCCAACACGACTGGTTTGCCGATGAAATCGTCTGATGTGGTTTCAACAGGCTTCCCGTTACGACGTCGACCACGAAGATCCATCTGCTAGCCCCGGCCTGCTAGCACACGCAAGCCGGGCCTCTTGCTCGCCAGTGCTGTAGCAGCACCCGAACTACCTATGAACTCTCCTATTGCTGTTCTCCGGACCTTATGATAACTCAGCTATACAGCTGATGCCTGCTGGACTGTTCCTTTATACGGTACCACATCCTGTTTATGTTTAGCCTCAGCCCAAACTTTATCGCCATTACCAGCTGTTGTCTTAGCTCTCTTGAATAACACCTGTGATTGCTTTATGCCTCTCTCCCATGTCAATATGCCTTGCTTATTGCTGTTTCGGTTATTTCTTATTGTACTATTTCACTGTAGAGCCCCTAGCCCAGCTCAACCTGCCTTAGACAGCTCCTTTGTCCCACCCCCCATACACGCGTAGACCGACTCAATCGGTGCCTCCAGTGATGCTATCTCTTTCATCGTTACCCAACGCTTAGGTTTACCTCCACTGTACTCATATCCTTCAATATCCTTGGCTGTACATAATGCCCTGAATCTATTCTACATTGCCGGGAAATCTGCCCCTTTTTTTCTCTGTACCCAACGCACTAGAAGACCAGTTCTTAAAGCCTTTAGCCGTATCCTTATTCTACTCCTCCTCTGTTCCTCTGGTGATGTAGAGGTAAACCCAGGCCCTGTAGCCCCCAGTATCACTCCTACTCCCCAGGCGTTATCATTTGTTGACTTCTGTAACCATAAAAGCCTTGGTTTCTTGCACGTTAACATCAGAAGCCTCCTCCCTAAGTTTGAGTTATTCACTGCGTTAGCACACTCCGCCAACCCTGATGTTCTAGCAGTGTCTGAATCCTGGCTTAGGAAGGCCACCAAAAATGCAGAAATGTCCATCCCCAACTACAACATTTTCCATCTCGATAGAACTGCCAAAGGGGGTGGGGTTGCAATCTACTGTAGAGATAGCCTGCAGAGCTCTATCATACTATCCAGGTCTGTGCCCAAACAGTTTGAGCTTCTACTAAAAATCCACCTTTCCAGAAATGTCTCTCACTGTTGCCACTTGCTACAGAATCCCCTCAGCCCCGAGCTGTGCCCTGGACACCATATGAGAACTGATTGCCCCCCATCTATCCTCAGAATTTGTACTGCTTGGTGACCTAAACTGGGATATGCTTAACACCCTGGCCAAACTACAATCTAAACTAGATGCCCTCAATCTCACACAAATGATCAACGAACCTACCAGGTACAACCCAAAATCTGTAAACATGGGCACCCTCATAGATATCATCCTGACAAATGTACCCTCTAAATACACCTCCACTGTCTTCAACCAGGATCTCAGCGATCACTGCCTTATTGCCTGCGTCCGTAATGGGTCCGCGGTCAAACGACCACCCCTCATCACTGTCAAATGCTCCCTAAAACACTTTAGCGAGCAGGCCTTTCTAATTGACCTGGCCCGGGTATCCTGGATGGATATTGACCTCATTCCGTCAGTAGAGGATGCCTGGTTGTTCTTTAAAAGTGCTTTCCTCTCAATCTTAAATAAGCATGCCCCATTCAAAAAATTCAGAACTAAGAACAGATATAGCCCCTGGTTCTCCTCAGACTTGACAGCCCTTGACCAGCACAAAAACATCCTGTAGCGTCCTGCATTAGCATCGAACAGCCCCTGCGATATGCAACTTTTCAGGGAAGTCAGGAACCAATATACACAATCAGTTAGGAAAGCAAAGGTTAGCTTTTTCAAACAGAAATTTGCATCCTGTAGCACTAACTCCAAAAAGTTTTGGGACACTGTAAAGTCCATGGAGAATAAGAGCACCTCCTCCCAACTGCCCACTGCACTGAGGCTAGGAAACACTGTCACCACCGAAAAATTTACAATAATCGAGAATTTCAACAAGCATTTTGCTACGGCTGGCCATGCTTTCCATCTGGCTACCACTACCCCGGCCACCAGCTCTGCGCCCTCCACTGCAACTTGCCCATGCCCCCCCCCCCCCGCTTCTCCTTTACACAAATTCAGACAGCTGATGTTCTGAAAGAGCTGAAAAATTGGGACCCATACAAATCAGCTGGGCTAGACAATCTGGAACCTTTCTTTCTAAAATTAGCCGCCGAAATTGTCGCAACCCCTACTACTAGCCTGTTCAACCTCTCTTTCGTAACGTCTGAGATCCCCAGAGATTGGAAAGCTGCCGCGGTCATCCCCCTCTTCAAAGGGGGTGACACTCTAGATACAAACTGTTACAGACCTACATCCATCCTGCCCTGCCTTTCGAAAGTTTTTGAAAGCCAAGTTAACAAACAGATCACCGACCATTTTGAATCCCACCGTACCTTCTCCGCTATGAAATCCAGTTTCCGAGCTGGTCATGGGTGCACCTCAGCCACGCTCAAGGTCCTAAACGATATTATAACCGCGATCGATAAAAGACAGTACTGCGCAGCCGTCTTCATCGACCTGGCCAAGGCTTTTGACTCTGTCAATCATCGCATTCTTATTGGCAGACTAAATAGCCTTGGTTTCTCTAATGACTGCCTCGCCTGGTTCACCAACTACTTCTCAGATAGAGTTCAATGTGTCAAATCGGAGGGCCTTCTGGCAGTCTCTATAGGGGGTGCCACAGGGTTCAATTCTCGGGCCGACTCTATTCTCTGTGTATATCAATGATGTCGCTCTTGCTGCTGGTGACACTCGGATCCACCTCTATGCGGGACGACACCATTTTGTATACATCTGGCCCTTCATTGGACACTGTGTTAACAAACCTCCAAACGAGCTTCAACGCCATACAACACTCCTTCCGTAGCCTCCAACTGCTCTTAAACACTAGTAAAACTAAATGCATGCCCTTCAACCGAACGCTGCTTGCACCCGCCCACCCGACTAGAATCACTACTCTCGGCGGGTCTGACCTAGAGTATGTGGACAACTACAAATACCTAGGTGTCTGGTTAGACTCACATTAAGCATCTCCAATCAAAAGTTAGATCTAGAATCGGCTTCCTATTTCGCAACAAAGCCTCCTTCACTCATGCTGCCAAACATGCCCTCGTAAAACTGACTATCCTACCGATCCTTGACTTCAGCGATGTAATTTACAAAATAGCCTCCAACACTCTACTCAGCAAATTGGATGTAGTCTATCACAGTGCCATCCGTTTTGTCACCAAAGCCCCATATACTACCCACCATTGGGACCTATGCGCTCTTGTTGGCTGGCCCTCGCTACATATTCGTCGCCAAACCCACTGGCTCCAGGTCATCTATAAATCACTTCTAGGCAAATCCCCATCTTATCTTAGCTCACTGGTCACCATAGCAACACCCACCCGTAGTCTGCGCTCCAGCAGGTATATCTCACTGGTCATCCCCAAAGCCAACACCTCCTTTGGCCGCCATTCCTTCCAGTTCTCTACTGCCAATGACTGGAACGAACTGCAAAAATCTCTGAAGCTGGAGACTCTTATCTCCCTCACTAACTTTAAGCGTCTGTTGTCAGAGCAGCTTACCGATCACTGCACCTGCACACAGCCATTCTGAAATTAGCCCATCCAACTACCTCATCCCCATTTTGTTATTTATTTTGCTAATTTGCACCCCAGTATCTCTATTTGCACATCATCTTTTGCACATCTATCATTCCAGTGTTAATACGAAATTGTAACTTTTGCACTATGGTCATATTTATTGCCTTACCTCCATAATGTACTACATTCGCACACACTGTATAAATATTTTCTGTTGTATTTTTGACTTTATGTTTTGTTTACCCCATATGTAACTCTGTGTTGTTGTTTTTATCGCACTGCTTTGCTTTATCTTGGCCAGGTCGCAGTTGTAAATGAGAACTTGTTCTCAACTGGCTTACCTGGTTAAATAAAGGTGAAATAAAATAAAATAAAATAAAAATGAAAGAACTGTACTATACTATCCACGTTTGAAACAGAAAAATTATGTTCTGCCTTTCACTACCCTATGAGTTTTACTAAAGGCTGGATCATTGCTGATTGAAAACTTGACCACTTTCCTCCACAGATCTCGATGGGCCCAAGGACTTGGAAGTGAGCGAGTCCACAGAGACCAGCATGACCCTGGTGTGGAGGAGACCCAGATCCAAGATCACTGTCTACAGGCTGGTGTACATCTCCAGGGATGGCCGGAGGGAGGAGGTGGAGGTCCCTGGAACAGCCACCACCTACATCCTGACCAACCTGACCCCTGGCATGCTGTACACCATTACCCTGGTCGCTGAGAGGGGCTCAAAGAAGAGCACACCCGTAACCCTGTCCGCATCTACAGGTGAGGGTTCAAACAGGATCTCTACAACTGACTCCACCCTCGTATTGCAAGGTACAAATATGTGTGGGTGATCCGTAAAGAAAATTGTTTTAGTTCTGTTTCAGGCATGGATAAAATCCATAGTATCAGGTGGGAAACATTGAACATGCTAAGTGCTAAATGTATGGCTCCTTTTGCACTGCTAACAGTTTGAATTGCATTTTATAATCCTAAAAGAAACATAAAGAAAGACATCTGCTCTTCTGGCTTGAGATGCAATAGCTTCACCAATCCAAACATATGTCAGAACACAAGCTCTTTCTCAGATACATACCAATATTTGATCGAAGAATGTGGAATTACTAAGGGCAACAGTCTGGTAGTTGTAGGCTATAACTTACTTTAATAGGGGGGGCAGAAATGGACAGCACTGCGGTCAACAGTAACAGTGCAGTAAGACACACAACCTCTAAATGCTCCCTTATCTGAATTTGTGCATTTTTGTTTCTGTTGAGGCATCTTTAACATTTTATTTAGCCGACCCGGTCCCTGAGCTTACCACTCTCATATGATCAGAGGACATTAGCTTTGTGTCGTTAGACACCACAGACCCAGTCACACAGATCTCAGGGATGGGGCTTGAGCTTGAGTATTAGCTGGGAGAGCTGACTGTCTCAGTTGAAACGTCCGAAGGATTTGAACTCTCGTGGGAACCAAAGGCACATGTTGTCTATGATAGTTATATTGTAGAATGTAGAGACACTCTGGGATTATGAGTTGTAAAAGAGGTCCATCTCTGTGGAGATGCCACCTGTTCTAGAATTTGAGGCCTGAGGGAATCCACAGAATATCGAGTAAAGCTTTATGGAGTAAGCAAAAGCTAAAATATCCTTGCCACTTGAAGCAGTTTCTTTTGAGCTGCATGCCTTCAGTATGATAGATATCCTTTTGTTGTTGAAAGATCTCTCATTTTAAGTCTACCTGGATAAAAACATTAGGATTTGAATGAAAGAGTTGCAAAGTTCAAAATCAAGCCTTTCATGTTTTGCATGATGGTATTGCGATTTTAAACTGCAATGGAACAGATAGTATGCATGGCATGATGATAGAGGTTTGCGACAATTCCATCTTTACAAAATGGCCATTTGGCTTCACTCCATCTAGTCACTTCTTGCATGCTGAGGATGGCAGTCCTAAAACAGAGAGTGTTGCTTTCAAACTATGAAGATGAATCCATGCCATTTCTATTCCATAGCAATTCAGATGAAGGACATTCATAAAATTGGTTATAGCAAATATAGCAATGCATACTGTGACTGTAAATGCTGTCATTTGCAGGGCATAATTTGTGACTTAATGTCAGCAACAATACTATCTATGGGTTGTTTAAAAACACCTTGTGAAAATAGAAAAGTTGATACCTTAGCTGAAGAGATAAAGCATTAAGAAAATCTGTCTTCCTCGGAATGGCTATTTCAGTGGTCACAACCACTCCACTGTTTCCCTCCAGATCAGCATGACATTCAGAAAAGTCGATTAGACTACATTTGCACACCAATTTACTCCTTCATTAGAGATTTTAAAAGCAACCATTTGCTCTCTGTAGGTATACACCATGTTCCGAAAAATCCATCACTGTCATTGCTTGCGACCCCATTCACATTGCATTTTCATCCACAGATGTTCACGGTAAAGGATAATGTTATAGTGTACTTTGCATCTTGAACTAACTACACAGGACCCACAGCAACAAGACTCTCAAATTGAGCCCTATGGTGTTTGAGCAGGGTTCTGTTCCATTATCAACATTAGCATACCACATAGTGCTTACTGTATGTATAGATATTGAAACGCAGACAAAGTCATAGGATAACTTTGGCAGTGCATGGCTTCTTCATCCGTTTGAAGTGTACTGGGTACTGTCACTACGGTGGACTACTCGGAACCTTCAAAAATTAATGGCCCTCGTTCAGGGGACATTAATGCATGAGCTGCTCAGTGTAAACGTACGTCTCTGATGCATGTGGACGTTTATGGTCTCTGACAACAAAGGACCTGCACAGTTCCATAGAGAGAAAATGGGGATGAATGCAGAATTATCACTTCTAAACCACAATAGGACAAAGTTAGACAAAAGATAATGAACATTTTGTTACTGTAATCAATCATTGTGTTTTTGTGGGTATTTATGTTTCAGTTTTTTACTCCACCAATTATTTATTCTATCCAGATCTTCTTCACACAGGTTAACCACTCTTTTTGTTTTTCTTCTGCCCTCAAGAGGTTACAGGTTACACATTTAATCCTTCTGAATGTACTTTGATTTAGCACCCAAGTCTACCACTCCTGATGTAGTCGCTCTGAGTGTCAAATATGCTCCAACGACACAGTCTCCTGACACAGGAGCTGTGTATCCAACAGTCCTTCCCCTGGCTCCTCTGATCACAGAGGGGCCTCCATCTCCATCTCTGTTCTCTACAGGGGACATCCTTTCTGGGGCTGAACCTGAACCAGAGGGCTCCAGCTCCAGCCTGGAGATCCTAGGGGACCACCTGGTCAGCCCCAGATGAAGCCGTTGATAGCTTTTTGGTGGAAGTGAATGCTCTGTCAGGGATGGCACAATTTCATGTGACTAAGGTACCAGGAAGTGCCAAGAAGGCCCAAAATAGAAGGCTTGTCCCTGGGACACGATATTAGGTTTCATTGTATGGGAAGGTGGAGGGGGAGCAGTCTCTGCCTCTTCAATCTCATGCCAATACAGGTACACATAGCAGTGATTCTTTGCCATAGACATCCATAGCCATCGGTCATCTCTCGCTCTCTCTCCATCCCATCCTTATTCATTTCATACATCCTCCAATTCATCCACCTGTCTTTGTATTAATGTGTTCCGTGTCATCATAAGTGACTAAGAAAGTTCTGCTGAAACACATCACAGTTTAATCCCTGCAATACATTGTATAGTTGATGTGAAATGTCAATATAACATACTGTACATGGGATATAAAATATGATGTGAAAAATCTATTTATGATATATTTCACATATATTTAATTGACTCTACTATGATCTGTTTCTCTGCTAGAGGAGCTGAGGCCTGTGGTGGCCAACCTCACAGTCTCTGACGTGACATGGGACAGCTTCAATGTGTCCTGGACTCCCGAGGACGGAGAGTTTGAGAGCTTTGTCATTGAGGTGACAAACTTACAGGAAGGTTTAGAGAGCGAGAACCTCACCTTGTCTGGTGATGCCTTCAGCCTGAGCATTTCTGGCCTGAGTCCTAACACTTCATATAGGATTGGCCTGTACGGGCTCCACCAGGGCTCCTTCCAGGAGCCGGTGTATACCGAAGTCACTACAGGTACCTGTGAATGGAGGTGTCCCCCAGGGTTCTGTCCTTATCGCTCTTTCTTTCTTACTTTTTCCTCTTTCTTCACTGTGCCTTTTGTATAGATTTTTTCTATTCCAGTTGGGATCCGTGGTGAGCCACACACACACACACACACACACCTCTGCCTGTTTCCATTCACACTTAAGCATTCACAGCACTGTACTTAGCAAGCAAGCAAGATCACTACATAACCCTTCAATTTTGCCTTTTTATCACCAATGACAATGTTACATTCTAACAACACCATGCTATGTGCCATTCTTACCCTCCATCCACTGTGTCAGTCTTGTCACCACAGGGCAGGGTGCTGGGCATCACCCACACAAACCCTTTAACCAAAACAAGCAAGCTGCCCGCAAGTGACCAACCTGACCCTGTCTCTCCTTGCCCCCTCCTCACATTTCCTCCCATGACCTGAGTGCATGAAGCCCTCCCATCCTCCCATTACATGTATTGTGGTGAGTTTTGATGTGCTGCAATAAATGCAAAAGAAAACCAACCAACACCCCACCCCTCCCAACCACCTTAAGCAGTGTCCATTCATCCTTATACCATCAACCCCCCCATCCTCACAGACTGAGTCATTAACCTTGATAGCTCATTTGCCTGTTGGAGTCATGCCTTAACTGAGTGGTCAGAACGGCTGAGGAACATTAGAGCTTTGTGCATTGGTTTGAGCGACTGGGAAGAAATGTAGGCCTAATAGTAAATAACAAAGAATAAATAGTTTTTGTGTCTGGTTGTAAAAAACATTAAAACAACTCCTCTTTTACATAGAATGTATGTGAAACATTGTTTATTCCAACTACAGTGCTACAAAAACTGCAGCGTATTGTCTTACTAATCAATACAATGCATGTGTGCATGCTCTTAACATGTATAGAATGTCTCCCCTGCACTGCATGAGTGCCATGTAAGCACTTTCCTTTTCCCTTGTCATCAAACTCTTCCTAAGGCATGGAGTGTCTTCTACCATCATCACCCATCCATGTAATTAACATCACAGTTGAATGTCTCTCCTGCTTGGGTTTGACAATGTGCTATCTCACCAAAAAATATATGTTTTATTTGTCACTTGCTTCATAAACAACAGGTGGAGACTAACAGTGAAATGCTTACTTACGGGCCCTTCCCAACAATGCAGAGAGAAAGAAAATAGAGAATTAATAGAAAATTAAAACACGTAATAATAAATACACAATGAGTAACGATAAATTGGCTATATAAACAGGGTACCAGTACAGAGTCGATGTGCAGGGGTACGAGGTAATTGAGGTAGATATGTACATATAACTAGGAATAAAGTGACGGATAATAAACAGTAGCAGCAGTATGTGATGAGTCAAAAAAGTTAGTGCAAAAAGGGTCAATGCAGATAGTCTGGGTAGCTATTGGTTAACTATTTAGCGGCCTTTGGCTTGGAGGTAGAAGCTGTTCATGGTCCTGTTGATTGCAGACTTGATGCATCGGTACTGCTTGCCATGCGGTAGCAGAGAGCAGTATATGACTTGGATGGCTGGAGTCTTTGACAACTTCCTCTGACACCGTCTGGTATGGAGGTCCTGGATGGCAGGGAGCTCTGCCCCAGTGATGCACTGATCTTTTCAACCTCCTGAGGGGGAAGAAGTGTTGTCTTGCCCTCTTCACGAATGTGTTGGTGTGTGGACCATGATAGATCCTTAGGGATGTGGACACTGAGGAACTTAAAGCTCTCGACCCGCTCCACTACAGGCCCTGTCGATGTGAATGGGGGCGTGCTCAGCCCTCCTTTTCCTGTAGTCCACGATCAGCTCCTTTGTCTTGCTGACATTGAGGGAGAGGTTGATGTCCTGGCACCACACTGCCAGGTCTCTGAGCTCCTCCCTATAGACTGTCTCATCGTCGTTGGTAATCAGGCCTACCACCGCCCTGCGTCGGCAAACTTAATGATAGTGTTGGAGTCGTGAGCGGCCACACAGTCGTGGGTGAACAGGGAGTACAGGAGGGGACTTTTTATTTTTTAGGGGGTAGATCAGCTTTAATATTGCAGATAGATTGTAACTTCCATCAATGTAATTGTCTGCATCACTTCCAATCCCCATATGTTTTTTTTCTCTCGCAAATATATATATATATATATATATATAGTGAGGGAAAAAAGCATTTGATCCCCTGCTGATTTTGTACGTTTGCCCACTGACAAAGACATGATCAGTCTATAATTTTAATGGTAGGTTTATTTGAACAGTGACAGACAGAATAACAACAAAAAATTCCAGAAAAACGCATGTCAAAAGTGTTATTAATTGATTTGCATTTTAATGAGGGAAATAAGTATTTGACCCCTCTGCAAAACATGACTTAGTACTTGGTGGCAAAACCCTTGTTGGCAATCACAGAGGTCAGACGTTTCTTGTAGTTGGCCACCAGGTTTGCACACATCTCAGGAGGGATTTTGTTCCACTCCTCTTTGCAGATCTTCTCCAAGTCATTAAGGTTTCGAGGCTGATTAGTTTCGATTAGTTATCTTGTTGTTATTAGTTGTTATTAGTCCCATCCTTCAACTCCATTCAACACCACCCATCTATCTCTTAACACCATCCATATTGGATTTCTATTTGCCATATATTTTTCAACTGTACTGTGATGTTTTACAAAAGTTCTTAACCTTTCTATTCTCATTGTTTCTACAGGTTGTAAATTGAAAATAAAATGTTTTGCTAAAAGTATTATTATATTATTGATCGATTGACTATGACTTTTCAGATCACCCAGTAATGCTATCTGCAGGGTTAGCTCCAGGTAAATATTGCAATCCTTTAGCCATTCCTGGACCTGTGTCCAAAAACAAGCTACAAATGGACAGTACCAAAACAAATGATCTAATGATTCTGTCTCTTCGCAGCAAAATCTGCAGAGCTGGGAAGATTGTATCCCCCATATAAATAACATTATATTGGTAGCAAGAATTTTACATAATAATTTTAACTTGAAAAATTCAAAGCTTTGAATCCGGCGTCGTTTTGCGTATCAGTTCATAAACACTATGCCATGGGATCAGTACGTCAAAAATCTCTTCCCAACTATTTTGCAATCTATATGGGACTGCTGTCAATCCTTTGGTCCTTAAATGAAACTGGTATACTTTTTTTAATTATCACAGTTTTCTTTAACCAATTATGTTCTTTAATGCAAGGCCGACAGACAAGTTCCTTACTTTTTCCCCCCTCCACTTTCCTCTTCCATTTTTGCGGTAATGCTGCAATTGTTTGGTTGTAATTTTGGGTAGAGCAGACATTTCCATATGTTTTTGTTAGCCGCATGTGTGACATAACTCCACCAGTCCTACCAATGATATCATTTACGAAGATTATACCTTTTTTTAACATTTTGTCAAAAAAAGTTTTTTTATCAATTAGTATATTTGAGTTTAACCACAATATTTGTTGCTATATTTGTTCTGTCGTTTCTGGAGGATTAAATTGAAATTGCAACCAACTTTCTATGGCTTGTTTTAGAAATAGTGATATTTGGGAGATGATTTCCTATTCAAATAACTGAAAGTGAGAGGTTGTAATCTGAATAAAGGGAAAAAGGCCATTCTTGAACATTGGGTGAGACAATCCTACTAATTTGCTACTGGAGGGGACTTAGCACGGACCCCTTTGGGGCCCCCGTGTCGAGGGTCAGCGTGGCGGATGTGTTGTTGCCTACCCTCACCACCTGGTGGCGGCCTGTCAGGAAGTCCAGGATCCAGTTGCAGAGGGAGGTGTTCAGTCCCAGGGTCCTTAGCTTAGTGATGAGCTTGGAGGGCAATATGGTGTTGAATGCTGAGCTGTAGTCAATGAACAGCATTCTCACATATTGTAGGTGGGAAAGGGCAGTGTGGAGTGCAATAGAGATTGCGTCATCTGTGGATCTGTTGGGGCGGTATGCGAATTGGAGTGGGTCCAGGGTGTTGTGACCAGCCTTTCAAAGCATTTCATGTAGGTATTACAGACTGGTTCAGGGAGGGGTTGAAAATGTCAGTGTCACTTGCACATGCCCTGAGTACGTGTCCTGGTAATCAGTCTGGCCCAGCAGCCTTGTGAATGTTAACCTGTTTAAACGTCTTACTCACATCGGCTACGGAGAGCGTGATCACACAGTCGTCTGGAACGGCTGGTGCTCTCATGCATGGTTCAGTTTTGCTTGCCTCGAGGAGAGCATGAAAGGCATTAAGCTCGTCTGGTAGGCTCATGTCACTGGGCACCTTGCGGCTGGGTTTTCCTTTGTAATCCGTGATAGTTTGCAATTCCTGCCACATCCAGCGAGCAACAGAGCAGGTGTAGGAGGATTCGATCTTTGTCCTGTATTGACGCTTTGTGTTTGATGGTTTGTCGGAGGGCGTAGCTTACAAGTTTTTGCTTGTAAGCAGGAATCAGGAGGCTAGAGTTATGGTCAGATTTGACAAATGTAGGGTGAGGGAGTTTTGTATGTGTTTCTGTGTGTGGAGTAAAGGTGATCTAGACTTTTTTTCACCTCTAGTTGCACAGGTGACACGCTGTTTGAATTGAATTAATACAGATTTCAGTTTTCCTGCATTAAAATCACTGGCCACTTGGAGTGCTGCTTCTGGATGAGCATTTTCTTGTTTTCCTTATGGCCCTATACAACTCATTGAGTGCAATCTTAGTGCCAGCATCGGTTTGTGGTGGTAAACAGACAGCTATGAAAAATATAGATGAAAACTATTTTGGTAAATAGTATGGTCCACAGCTTATCAAGAGGTATTCTAACTCGGGCGAGCAGAACCTCGAGACTTCCTTAATATTATAGATCGTGCACCAGCTGTTGTTAACAAAGAGCTACCCAATGCTGCCGTTCTGTCCTGCTGATTAAACAATGGCGGAAACATTATGTACAAATAAATGTAAGATTACTGCAAATATATATATATATACAGATTTTGCAGGTTTTCCTACTTACAAAGCATGTAGAGGTCTGTAATTTTTATCATAGGTACACTTCAACTGTGAGAGACAGAATCTAAAACAAAACTCCAGAAAATCACATTGTATGAATTTTAAGTAATCCATTTGCATTTTATTGCATGACATAAGTATTTGATCACCTACCAACCAGTAAGAATTCCGTCTCTCACAGACCTGTTAGTTTTTCTTTAAGAAGCCCTCCTGTTCTCCACTCATTGCCTGTATTACAGTCGGGAAAAAAAGTATTTAGTCAGCCACCAATTGTGCAAGTACTCCCACTTAAAAAGACGAGAGAGGCCTGTAATTTTCATCATAGGTACACGTCAACTATGACAGACATATTGAGGGAAAAAAATCCTGAAAATCACATTGTAGGATTTTTTATGAATTTATTTGCAAATTATGATGGAAAATAAGTATTTGGTCAATAACAAAAGTTTCTTAATACTTTGTTATATACCCTTTGTTGGCAATGACACAGGTCAAACGTTTTCTGTAAGTCTTCACAAGGTTTTCACACACTGTTGCTGGTATTTTGGCCCATTCCTCCATGCAGATCTCCTCTAGAGCAGTGATATTTTGGGGCTGTCGCTGGGCAACACAGACTTTCAACTCCCTCCAAAGATTTTCTATGGGGTTGAGATCTGGAGTCTGGCTAGGCCACTACAGGACCTTGAAATGCTTCTTACGAAGCCACTCCTTCGTTGCCCGGGCGGTGTGTTTGGGATCATTGTCATGCTGAAAGACCCAGCCACATTTAATCTTCAATGCCCTTGCTGATGGAAGGAGGTTTTCACTCAAAATCTCACGATACATGGCCCCATTCATTCTTTCCTTTACACGGATCAGTCGTCCTGGTCCCTTTGCAGAAAAACAGCCCCAAAGCATGATGTTTCCACCCCCATGCTTCACAGTAGGTATGGTGTTCTTTGGATGCAACTCAGCATTCTTTGTCCTCCAAACACGACGAGTTGAGTTTTTACCAAAAAGTTTCATCTGACCATATGACATTCTCCCAATCCTCTTCTGGATCATCCAAATGCACCTAGCGAACTTCAGACGGGCCTGGACATGTACTGGCTTAAGCAGGGGGATACGTCTAGCACTGCAGGATTTGAGTCCCTGGCGGCGTAGTGTGTTACTGATGGTAGGCTTTGTTACTTTGGTCCCAGCTCTCTGCAGGTCATTCACTAGGTCCCCCCGTGTGGTTCTGGGATTTTTGCTCACCGTTCTTGTGATCATTTTGACCCCACGGGGTGAGATCTTGCGTGGAGCCCCAGATCGAGGGAGATTATCAGTGGTCTTGTATGTCTTCCATTTCCTAATAATTGCTCCCACAGTTTCTTCAAACCAAGCTGCTTACCTATTGCAGATGCAGTCTTCCCAGCCTGGTGCAGGTCTACAATTTTGTTTCTGGTGTCCTTTGACAGCTCTTTGGTCTTGGCCATAGTGGAGTTTGGAGTGTGACTGTTTGAGGTTGTGGACAGGTGTCTTTTATACTGATAACAAGTTCAAACAGGTGCCATTAATACAGGTACCGAGTGGAGGACAGAGGAGCCTCTTAAAGAAGAAGTTACTGGTCTGTGAGAGCCAGAAATCTTGCTTGTTTGTAGGTGACCAAATACTTATTTTCCACCATAATTTGCAAATAAATTCATAAAAAATCCTACAATGTGATTTTCTTGATTTTTTTTTCTCAATTTGTCTGTCATAGTTGACGTGTACCTATGATAAAAATTACAGGCCTCTCTCATCTTTTTAAGTGGGAGAACATGCACAATTGGTGGCTGACTAAATACTTTTTTTTCCCACTGTAACTGCACCTGTTTGAACTCGTTACCTGTATAAAAGACACCTGTCCACACACTCAATCAAACAGACTCCAACCTCTCCACAATGGCCAAGACCAGAGAGCTGTGTAAGGACATCAGGGATAAAATTGTAGACCTGCACAAGGCTGGGATGGGCTACAGGACAATAAGCAAGCATCTTGGTGAAAAGGCAACAACTGTTGGCGCAATTATTAGAAAATGGAAGAAGTTCAAGATGACGGTCAAACACCCTCGGTCTGGGGCTCCATGCAAGATCTCACCTCGTGGGGCATCAATGATCATGAGGAAGGTGAGGGATCAGCCCAGAACTACACGGCAGGACCTGGTCAATGGCCTGAAGAGAGCTGGGACCACAGTCTCAAAGAAAACCATTAGTAACACACTACGCCATCATGGATTAAAATCCTGCAGCGCACGCAAGGTCCCCTTGCTCAAGCCAGCGCATGTCCAGGCCTGTCTGAAGTTTGCCAATGACCATCTGGATGATCCAGAGGAGGAATGGGAGAAGGTCATGTGGTCTGATGAGACAAAAATAGAGCTTTTTGGTCTAAACTCCACTCGCCGTGTTTGGAGGAAGAAGAAGGATGAGTACAACCCCAAGAACACCATCCCAACCGTGAAGCATGGAGGTGGAAACATCATTCTTTGGGGATGCTTTTCTGCAAAGGGGACAGGACGACTGCAACGTATTGAGGGGAGGATGGATGGGGCCATGTATCGCGAGATCTTGGCCAACAACCTCCTTCCCTCAGTAAGAGCATTGAAGATGGGTCATGGCTGGGTCTTCCAGCATGACAACGACCCGAAACACACAGCCAGGGCAACTAAGGAGTGGCTGCGTAAGAAGCATCTCAAGGTCCTGGAGTGGCCTAGCCAGTCTCCAGACCTGAACCCAATAGAAAATCTTTGGAGGGAGCTGAAAGTCCATATTGCCCAGCGACAGCCCCGAAACCTGAAGGATCTGGAGAAGGTATGTATGGAGGAGTGGGCCAAAATCCCTGCTGCAGTGTGTGCAAACCTGGTCAAGACCTACAGGAAACGTATGATCTCAGTAATTGCAAACAAAGGTTTCTGTACCAAATATTAAGTTCTGCTTTTCTGATGTATCAAATACTTATGTCATGCAATAAAATGCAAATTAATTACTTAAAAATCATACAATGTGATTTTCTGGATTTTTGTTTTAGATTCCGTCTCTCACAGTTGAAGTGTACCTATAATAAAAATTACAGACCTCTACATGCTTTGTAAGTAGGAAAACCTGCAAAATCGGCAGTGTATCAACTACTTGTTCTCCCCACTTTTATATATATATGGTTCTCTGTAGCTCAATTGGTAGAGCATGGCGCAATATATATATATTGCAGAATTGATCAGGATTTTTTTTCTCCAAATCCTGTCCTGGAGAGCTACTGGGCTTGCTGGCTTTTGTTCCAGCCCTGCACTAAGTACAGGTGAATAGTTAATTATTTGAAACTGATGTGTTAGTGCTGTGCTGAAACAAAACCCTACATTACACATCCAGCAGCTGTCCAACACTGAAGTTGGAGATCCTTGTCTTGGTCACATTCTTACACTAAATTCAACTGTACACTTTTGTCAAAACCATATAATTGTCAAGTCTAGCAAATCCGAAGCCAACTTTTACTGTCATTGATTCCCTGTCCTTTCCTCTTTCTCACTCCGACTCTTTGGCTATCTGTCACTCTCCCGGTTTGTGTCAATGTCAGTGTCTTCCTCTGTGTCTTGTCTGTGCACTAAACAAAACCTAGGCTATTTTAGAATAAAAGCTGGTGCTGACCTGGCTCAAGTTGCAATAATGATGATACACTTATATGCCACAAATTCCATTATTATTCACGTGGCACATTATGATCAGTTCTGATTTGTTACACTGAAATACATGTTCTTTATTCTTCACCACACCCCCCAAAAGCTTGCTGTTGTATTGTCAGAATGAAAATGTTCATGTCATTACTTTTTCATTATATTCAAAGACTATCGAGAATGGCAGGTGGGAGGTGAGTGCCATGTGAAATTGCACTTATTATTCTCATATATCTTTGATATACAAAATAATCTACAATCTATTTTCCTCACATCACAAATAGATAATTGAGTATGTTACAGCCAAAAGAGTGATATTATAGGCATATTCCATTGCACATTTTAGCTTATTTCAAAATCCAATAACTGTTTCCTCCTTTAGTGAGCGAACCAGTGGTTGGCAATCTGTATGTATCTAACTTAACGTCCTTGAGTTTCTCCATCTCCTGGAATGGCATTGAGGGAGAGTTTGACGGTTATGTCCTGGATATTATTGATTCTAACTGGCTGAGGAAGCCAGATGAATATAGCATTTCACAGAATGCAATGTCCCAAGACATCACAGGGCTAAGGCCCAGTACTGACTATATAGCCTACCTCACTTGGATTGTCAAGGGATCGTGAACCCATGCTCTCAGTATTTTTGCATCAATGGGTATTTTTTTTGTGATTATTTTATTTCTAAAAGCCAGAGCACATGATCACTTTGCTCTATATTTAAGCCTACAATGTTTTAGCACTTAAATATTATATGAAAACAAAAATGTTCTGACTCTCATTGACTTATTCATTATAACCTGGATCACTTGAAGTGTGTGACACTGGATTAAAAGGAAAACAGACAATTGAGGGAAAAATAGGACAGTAACATTGTGCCACAAATTCATGAATGAATGCTGACTTTTCTCTCCTATGTAGCTGCAGAGCCTGTCCAGGTTAGCTGTTTCTAACATTACCTCAGACAGACTTTCACTGTCGTGGAGGACGGGGAGAAGGCTTTTGATAACTTTATAGTAGAGGTCATGGGCCGCATGCTGCCTAGAGAAGCGCGCTCCACAGTTATGACTGGTCTCAAAGGGAGTACCACCTACGACATCAAACTGTATGCCAGCTCCGCTGGACAGTATACGCAGCCCCTATTCGCTGTAGCCACCACAGGTATTGCAACGCATGCATCTTTTCCCATATGTTTCATTATAACGTATTCGAATTCCAAATTAAAAAGCTGTTACTCTTAAATAGTTCACGAGCAGTCAAACCAAGACTATGACCATAATTAAGAGTTCCAACCATAGTTCTAAACGGTCAAAAAGATAACGTCAGATTTTATATCACACTCCTCATCTCTATTAATTGAAAATCACTATTATCTTTGTCCAGAGGCTGTCCCACAGTTGGGCCCAATAGCTGTGTCGGACAGGCTGGCTACTGGAGGCCCAGGAGTTCACTGTTCCTGGCAAGCAGAGCTTCCTGGACATCTGGGGCCTGATCACTGGCATAGGCTATGAGGTCAGGCTGACTGGGGTGTCCAGTTCTGGGCTGGTCTCCCGCCCACTGACCACAGCGGCTGTGACTGGTACCACCCACAGAGGCGTCATGGCCATTGAAAATTAGGGGTCATGAGCACCCTTCCAATTTGATTCTAGCCCCGATAACTTCACCCTGTCCTGGGGAACACAGGCCGGTCACTTTGATGGCTTTGTGATACACTGGAGTTCACGCCGTCTGGCGAGGTCCATAAAATTACTGTCACGGCCTAGTGGACGCCATTTACTATGACATTGAGCTGTATGGTATTTCTCATGGGCGCCGCACCCCTTCCCTCTTAGCTCGTGCCGTCACAGGTACTATGTAATTTACTCATATCTTAAAGGTCCAGTGCAGTCAAAAATGAGATTTTCCTGTATTTTATATATATTTCCACACAATGAGGTTGGAAAAATACAGTGAAATTGTGAAAATTATGATAATGCCCTTTTAGTGTAAGAGCTGTTTGAAAAGATCGCCTGAAATTTCTGCCTGATTTGGTGGGATGGAGTTTTGGCCTTCCATGGTGGCATCACCATGCGATAAACCAGTGGGGGGGAAGAATCTTCATACATTTTTAATACACACATGACAGACAAATCACTACATTGCCCTTTGCTAAGAAGGTATTTTTGATTATTTTGACCATTTTAATTGAAAACAATCACAGTAAGGTACTTTTTTGTTACCCAGAAATGATTTGATATGACCTTTAACACTTATTTTGAAACACTGTCAGGGTGGAAATGTGTGTCCCAGTAGCAAAATAATTGATCATGATCTCTCCAGGGACAAACCCAAGTTTAAGCAGGATTAATTTGCAAGTTTTGAATACAGTGTTCCAGTGAACATTACAAAAAGGTCTGTCTGGACACAATATTCTTGGATGAGAATCTTCACTTTAGTGTTTCAACTCCCTCTTGTCTGCATGACATTCTACAGTTGTTATTATGAATTTAGCACCCATTTATAAACATGATATCAATCTATTACGTTATGTGCATGACTAGATTCTGCTAATTGAATTGGGGTTAGCTTTGCAATCATTGTGCAGATCAACCACCATATTTATTCTACCCATGTCTTATCCTTCCCCTACGCGACCCTAACCACCCCACCCCCCAAAAAACGGACTATTTCGGCGATCCCCTCATTCGGCTTCCGTGTGTCCTGGGAGGCGCATAATCCTTGACAAAAGGAAGGGGCTCCCTCTACTGGTGGCTTCAGCCACTTTCACATAGTGCTGTCAGACAGGCTGGCTACTGGAGGCCCAGGAGTTCACTGTTCCTGGCAAGCAGAGCTTCCTGGACATCTGGGGCCTGATCACTGGCATAGGCTATGAGGTCAGGCTGACTGGGGTGTCCAGTTCTGGGCTGGTCTCCCGCCCACTGACCACAGCGGCTGTGACTGGTACCACCCACAGAGGCGTCATGGCCATTGAAAATTAGGGGTCATGAGCACCCTTCCAATTTGATCAATTTGTAGGATAAAAGGTAAACAAGTTATAGATTATTTTACGCACAATTCATTCAAATACATTGAATTTGGCCATCAGTGCCCCCTCAAAAAACAAGGTGCTCTGGCCACACTACACACTGTAGGCCGAATTATGAGATACACACAAGTAACACAACTAACTTGAAGAGATAGTTCACCCAAATTACAAAAGGACACATGGTTTTGCATTTGTGGCTCAAATCCCATTCAAGTCATTGGACCAATATTAGCATTTTTCGCCCATCATGTGTGACTTTGGTGAGATTCACAATCAATTTTAGATACTTTCGGATTATTTGGACATGATGCGCGAAAAATGCTGATATCGGTCCCATGACTTGAATGGGATTTGTGCCACAAATGTTAAAACATTATCATTTGCAAACCGTGCCAGGAAAACTAAACCAAAGCATGGATTGCTGTTATACCTTACAGGGTAAGGAAACCAGTACAGTATGTAATTTTGTAATTTGGGTGAACTATCTCTTTAGGATTCGGCTCTGTACAAACGTGCTTCTCCATCACAGTGAGGTGTCATTGGGACAGCTTGTGGGATCAGTCACCATTCAGTTGAAGTGAAAACACAGGTGTACTTTACTTAGCCTACTGTTTTGATGCTGGTGACAATTAAGCCATTAGACTTAATTTACTTATTCAATGGGGCGCTCGATTCCCAACTTGTACTTTTACTGTAGGCCTATAACAAAAGAACAGTAGCCTTTACACTGTAATCTTCTGAGAAAGGATGAGAAATGGATGGCATAAATGCCTTGCTTTGGTGGAGAAGCCTCAACACACAACCCAACTACCTCCAACATTTCTCATCCTTTTCCAGAGTGATCTGAGTACTCTTAATCTCTTCTTCATCCTTTTGTCTGTTTGTCTGTTTGAAGCTTAATGGTTACAGTGAAGCAGTGGTGCTCAGCTTTTTCCTCTCTCCAAAATATGAAAATGTGTTTTCATATTTTAAACTGTGTTTTCCCTCAGATACATCATAATGTGACACTGAAACTTACGGTGTAAAGGATGCCGTTTTCAGTCGACACATCACTGTCATATCACTAAGAATTGTTTGACATAATCAAGCAATATCTAAGTTTCACCTGTAAATATTAGACTGATAAGGCATTAACAAAACCAGTCTTTGTTTCCAGTTGAAAAGGTCAGAGGATGGTTAGGACTTAGCTAGCAGATTGTAAAGGGCTAATGTGACGCTCGATTAGCATTACAGGTTAGGTACTGTTTGGTGTAGCCAGGCCCCAGGGTCCTGTCTGGAGCGTGAAGTCACAAGCTCTGCTTGTTGGCTACTGCATAGAAACCTAGTGGTGCCAAAAGCCCTGGTCTGCCCTAGAAAGCCTATGTAAATTACGATCGTTATTCAGGAGTGTGATTGGACGCCAATTATCAATAATTAAGAGATCCTTGTGTGGTTTAGGTATAAGAGTTTAAAAAACTTGCTTCAGAGAGGCAGGTAGTTCTCCCTTCATTACAGCCTCCTTAAATGTTTCAAGTAAAAATTGTGTTATTTCTTCAGAGACGGTTTTGTAAAATTCAGAGGTTAATCCATCCCTGGAGATTTGTTATTTTTTTATTGAGCGATCCCATATTGGATGTCCATAATAGATAAATCTTGACAACAAGACCGATTTTAATTCTTCACTAACCGAGTTAACATTCTCTATAGAATCAAGGAGATCCTTAGAGTCACTCAAACTTATCTAAGGAGTAAAGATTCTCATAAAACTTAGTGGTATAGTCTGATAACAACTCTCTATCCTCAGAGGTTACCCCATTAATCTTACATTTCCGAAGTGTGTTGAGTTTCCCTCCCCTCTTTTCCAAATTAAAAAAAGTATCTACTGTTCTTTTCGCCTTTTTCAAGCCATTGTTTTCTGGACCTTATGAAGACTCCTCTAGCCTTTTCCTCATAAAATGTATCTAGTTGATTCTGTAAATCATTCAATTTAGCTTTCTCATTAAGATCAAGATGCTCAATCTCTGTGATATCAGTAATTTTCTTAGAGAGCTCAGCTACCTCATCTCCTTCTTAAAGCAAGCCGATTCCCATAAGTAATACAGGCTGAGCGGATTTTAAATTTCAGCAGTTCCCAATATTTCCCATATTCTGCATTAGAGGTAGCTCAATTCCAGTAAAAATAAATTTGATTCTTAATCACATTTTTTAAATCATCATGCAATAACAATTAGTTATTCATTTTCCAAAAACCACCAGAGTATTTCTTATCATCATTACTGCACGTTCTTACAGTCAGCCATATGACTTTATGATCCGTCAGGACTGCAGCCAGTATTTTTTACCTCTACAGTGTTGGGCTCAAGACCAGAGGTTATCAGCCACAAGTCAATTCTTGATTGTAGTGAACGATCTCTATTACTCCATGTGTACTGTTTCTCTCCAGGGTTTTTAACTCTCCATATGTCAATTAAGTCCAGGCTTTGCCAGAAATTCACCAATTTGTTCACACCAATGTTAGGCCTATGGGGCAATCTATCAGTGTCATTATAATAAACCATATTCAAACTATAAATTTGATTGGATGGATATTTTCTCAGAAGACTTTTAAGAATTTCCTCAATTTCCTTTAGAAGTAAGTCATTTGGAGGACTAGAACAGTATCCATATACATTACACAACACAAATAATCTGTCCATGTGGTTGATGACCTCTACTAGCCAATGTCTATTGGTGTCCATTTGAGTAAACAAAAATGTTCCTTTGAAATTGTGTGCTAAAATTGCAACCCCAGCTGAATGATTAGTCCCGTGGGCCAAGAACATGTCACTGCCCCACTGATTTTTCCAAAAATTATAGTCCTCTTTGCATGAATGTGTTTCTTGAACGAATACAAGATCTGCGTTGCAGTCCTTACAAAACAGGTTTTGTATCCCCCTGGCATTGATTGACATAAACTTCAAGTCCATATATACAAAATAGAAAGGAAAATCCTATGCAATCTCAACTCTACCCTCTCTATAAAAAGGTGCTTCATAAATGTATTAACAGAAGTCTTAACTTGTAAACCATAACACCACAATTCAAAACTAGAACGCTCAGTTTGTTGTGGGGGAAGGGGCTACCTTGTAAGACTACCAGCGGAGCAAATCACCCCGGTCAAATTTATTTTCTGTCTGCGAAAAAGGCTCCGATTCCCCTGTAGTATCCACCCTTTCCTTGATTTCGGGCCTGTTGGACGAGAGGCCACAACTTTGCCTTTGCTGCCTTGTCTGCTGCAGTCAGGTCCTCACTGAATCTAATTTCTCTCCTTCAGAAAGGCGCTTTCCTTTGCTTTCTTCTAAACTGCATCTCTCACTGTGCGGAAAGCGAACTGGATGAGGATCGAGCGGCTGTTGATGGCATCTTGCTTCTTCCCAATACGATGAGCGACATCCACAGCCATGTCCATATATCCATCGGGGAAGTCCTCGGCCACACGGTTACAGATGTCACTTACTTTGCGCTTCACATTCTCACCCTGGTCCTCAGGGACACCGTAAAGTTGTAGCACTTTTTTTCAAATTTTGCCTAAAATGACATACCGAAATCTAACTGCCTGTAGCTCAGGACCTGAAGCAAGGATATGCATATTCTTGATACCATTTGAAAGGAAACACTGAAGTTTGTGGAAATGTGAAATGAATGTAGGAGAATACAACACATTAGATCTGGTAAATGATAATACAAACAAACAAACATGCATTTTCTATTATTATTATTATTATTTATTCCATCATCTTTGAAATGCAAGAGAAAGGCCACAATATAATATTACAGTTTGGGCTAAATTTAGATTTTGGCCACTAGATGGCAGCAGTGTGTGTGCAAAGTTTCAGATTGATCCAGTGAAGCATTGCAATACTGGACTATTTTGTATCAAGTCTGCCCAAATGTGCCGAATTGGTCAATTGATACATTTTCAAGTACATAACTATAGAGAATGTACAAAAATGATATGGTAATACAAAATGTAAGTTTACACACTCCCAGGAATGTCATACATGCTGGATCATTAGCTTATACACTAACTTTCACACATCTAGATGGCCGGGCGGGGTGGGTGAGGAGCCAGAGACAGTAGAGGTTCAAACTGTAGAACCCAGTTCCTACATTTGAATATAAAAATGGATTTTATCAAACAAAACTATGCTACATTTTATCTCTGGGACCCTTACGATTACATATCAGAGCAAGATTACTGAATGTAAGTACATTATTTACCTTCAGAGGTGAATGTATCAAACCAGTTGCCGTGATAAGTTTTTGTTGTTGTTGTGCACTCTCCTCAAACAATAGCATTATATTTTTTCGCTGTAATAGCTACTGTAAATTGGACAGTGCATTTAGATTAACAAGAATGTAAGCTTTCTGCCCATATAAGACATGTCTATGTCCTGGAAAGTTTTCTGTTACATACAACAGTCATACAAATCACATTAGCGCATGTTAGCTCAACCGTCCCGTTTAGAGGTTAAGGTTACTCGGAGCAAGATAAATTCCCCCCTCCACTCGCCGCCATCTTCTTCGCCCCCCCAGAAAATTGTATAAATGTTTTGCTCCATGAAGTAATCCAAGAATGTGTACGCCGTCATCTTGCCTATTTCAAATCTTCTCTCATTGATCGAGACAGGTGAGTATCATCATGACATGCGGCACTTTGGGGTATGACACCCACCTGTCTTTTCTAAATTCAAACGAACCCCATGCAACTAGACATGGACTTTTAGAAGACATTGGTTGTTTTCCAAGTCAGAAATTGAGGAAGTATCTACAAGTTAAGGTTGGTTGAAAATTCTCTGTGCTACGCCAAACAGTACCTATCTCATAATGCCTGTCCACCAGCTTAAACAGAGTAATGGTCTGACTAGGCAATATTTGTTATAGCTAGTTAGGCCTATGGACCAGGAAAACACAGACAAATCAACATGGCATTTTCAGCATGAAATGTCAGTTGACGTAACCACTAATTTGTTACAGTGGGCCTGTAAGTGGATGTCAACTTGCTAACGGACTTCAATAAATGTCTCCACAACCATGAGCGTATCTATTTCACCTTGACTGTGACCGCACGCGCTAAAGATTTGAATGCATGGCAGAGTGATGGCAAGTTCATGAGAATGTAACTAACAACTGGTATGTCTACTCATCTTTTTCGTCTGATCACCGAAAGGATGCCTTCCTCAATTTTGCTTTCTAGTAATTGGGTGAATGTTTCTCGACAAATGCGACAAATTGAAGCGTTTTCCGTTTCAAACCAGAGGCTGAGCCAGAAGTGGAGCACATGTTCGTCTCGGACATCACGTCAGACAGTTTACGCCTGGCCTGGACTGCGGATGAAGACATGTTTGATAGATTTGTGATCAAAATTAGGGACTCCACAAAGTTTGTGCATCCACAATAATTAATTGTCCTCGGTGATGAGCGAACCAAAAATTTAACAGGACTCACTAGCGGCACCGAGTACGAAATCGAGCTGTACGGTGTCACATTGGAACGGAGCTCCCAACCAATTACCGGTGTTGCTTGACCAGGTATTTTAATAGAGGACCTATTTTCTGACAGTGGGATCTATCAGTGAGTGCCAAAGCACAATGTGGTCTACATCTCACACACCTTTTAACTGTCTGGTTTCTCTGGAAACGGGTGTCTACAAGAAACAATAGGCTACTGTTCTTTGTTTGACTGGGTTTTCTAATACTATATTTTGTTTTGACTGGTTTTATTTTTTCAAGAGGTATGCCTTCAGGGAAATGTCTTAATTGCCACTGATCATTCTTTGATGTGCTAATAGTCCTAGGCATGTGAGCATACTTCAGGGTTCAAGGGCCTACCAATTGGTTTTGCATGTCTCTTTTTCCCCATTTGACATTATTTTCAGGAATATGGAGACACCATCTTTTTGCATTCGATTTGTGGTGCTTCTTATGCTTGGCTTTAAATGCTGATCAAATTCCATGTGTTTTGATGCCCATTATAGATTCATTTTCATAGCCTATACATTTTACTGACCACTGAACTGGTTAAAGAGTTAAAGACACAAACATATTAGCTTTTTTGCAGCATGTTTGACAAAAGTTTCATGTGTTGGTATTCATGCATTGAAATGTACTCCTTAAATGTACTCCCCTTGATAGCCTATAATAGGGATGTATGATATGCACCACTGTTGATCTGTAGATTGTGGGATGCAGCGCATGTTTCAAGCCTACTCTGGCTGGGGTGATTGTGGTGGGCCTTTGTATGTTTTCAGCAACTGTGTTTTCTCACTGGAATTTCGTGTTTTTTGGGAGTTATCATTTTTGCAAAGTCTTTGAGTACATTTGTGTGCTTTTCTGATTTCTCAATGTGCATATTGACACACCATAGGCAATAGGACTTTTGCGTCAAATAAACTGACCTCAGTAGAATTGATTCCTGATCAAAAACCAAACACAAACAGATCAATCTAACTTTTGTTGTTTTTGTGCTGGCCTTTTCAACCCTGACCCCTTCAACCCTGACCCCATCACTGTGCCAGGCCTGGGTGCTCCAAGGGGCATTCGCTTCTCTGAGGTGACCGAGTCCTCGGCCATAGTCCACTGGACCATGCCTCATGACAGAGTGGACAGCTACCGCATCATCTATGTGCCTCTCCAAGGAGGTGAGTGAACAGGCTTTAATAGTGACAGTTAAGTCTACCCATTATAGTAAGGATATTGGACTGCATTTATATAGTACTTTAGGCCTCAAAAGGGCTTAATGTTGGATGATTTAGGAGGAATTTTCTCTCCTCACACAATTTTCTAATTGGATAAAGCACTCCCTCTAATGGAACATAGAGTAATCACAAGGTTTCTTCACAAAACCACAGTAGTCTCTCCAACTGCTACCAACAGAGGGAAAGGAAATGATTTCCTTGAAGTGGATTTAACAATACAATTGAACACAAATTAAATCTGTTCATGAAAATGTATTGACTCTTGAGTAGAATAATGTAATGCGACAAACATACAATATTTTCTCTCATCAACAGGTAGCCCAATGACAGTGCTTGTGGATGGGACTGAGACCAAGGCCTTGCTGCCTAACATGTTGCCAGGGGTGACCTACCAGGTGAACATATTCGCTATGAAGGGCCTGGAGGAGAGTGACCCAGGGACAGACACCATCACCACAGGTGTGTGCGACTTCTGTTTAGCCTTCATTTACATCACTCTGAATTGACCTTTTACTAAATACATTAAATACATTTACATTAGTCACAGTGCTATGAGGAGAATAGACAAGTGTCTGGTCATTTACATATATATACATACACACATAAACAGGTCCCCTGTAGCTCAGTTGGTAGAGCATGGCGCTTACAACGCCAGGGTTGTGGGTTTATTTCCCATGGGGAGCCAGTATGAAAAATGTATGCACTCACTAATGGATAAGAGCGTCTGCTAAATGACTAAAATGTCATACATAGACATTATGAGCGTTTCATAAATAATTAGCTTTCATACATTCACACTCAGTAGCACATATAGTACTTCTCTACTTGTCCCAACCAGTCAATTATTCAAGTAATAAGTATGACATCATTGTATAGGGGCAGTCGTAGTGCTGTTGCGGTGACCATATTACCGCCACACCCGCAGTCATGAGTCATGACTGCAGTAAAATTCCACGTGACCATTGCGTCACGATAATCTCCTTTTATGCACTCTGGACATGCTTTGGTATTGAGTACCCAATTTGCTAATGACCATCAGGTCCTTATCACCTGGCACTTGGGGCTCTATTGTCCCTCTAACCACTCTGGCATCAATGCAAATGCATTCGAAAATCACATCAAACACATATCATCAAAACAGTAGCCCTAAAGTACTTTTAAAACTCACCTCACTGTGATGATCAATTTTAAGAAAGAAGTTCAACAGCAGGTTGAAACAGTGTAAAACATGGTTGTTGTGGATGTTGTTTCAAAGCCTAACACAACGAAATGGACAGCGCTTTCTAAGGTGATGATTAATTCAAAACACCCATATGCATAGATTTATGAGCCCAAGCCAGATTATTTTTTTACTGAATTAAAATGAGGATTGTGCCATTATGCAATACATAGCCTACCGTATATTACGCATGGCAGAAAAACATAAAACAAAACTGATTTAAGATATCTTTGGTACATAATTGGTCTAGCCTATACTCCAAAATTAAAGAAATTCGAGTAATCGCCTTTGAGTGTGGACTGTATTATTATGCATACTGTATGGACTGGTTACCTTATGCTAAGCTCCAAAATGTATATCCATGAGGAGAGAATGTTTAGCCCTAGGCGATGCTGTTGGTTCATTGATTGTGCAGGGCGGTTTACAGTTAACCTACAATTAGTGAATTTGTATTTGATATTGAATAGGGCATTTTTTTATATTTTCATAATTCATTAGGTGACACAATACCGTTACATATAGGCCTACAGAATATCTCACCACCTTGCGTTTCCATCTCCTCCTCTCTCTCCTTTACTACTTTCTCGAGCACGCAGATGGGCTGTCAACACTTTACTGAAATATGTTTCGTTGCGAAAACGTGTTACTATCGATGTTGCCGAACAGATTTGGTTTCCCAAATTAAGCACGGGGTAGCTGCAGCAACAAGGTTGGAGAGCCATGCATGGCATACAGAGTTGAGCGGAATGTCACCTGTCGGGTCAGCGAGAGCATGCTCCGCTATAAAACCGAAGTAGACAAAACGGACCAGTGGGAAAGCGCGCAGCCTTCATTCGCTATTCGAGTGCATACAGATTACATGTATTTTTCCCCTGCCCCCTGTTCCTGTCCATTTGATAAAGGGCCATTCTAAATCGAAACAAATTTAACATAGGCTATTAGTAAAGACGAGATTAAATTGAGAATAGTCTGAGGGGTGAAAATATGATAACTTGATGAGAGAACAGCTGTGCAGCCTGTGGCAGGGAACAGAGCACAAGCTTTTTTTGCTACGTTCTCAAATCATCAAATCAAATCAAATTTTATTGGCCTATAGTCGCACCAGTCGCAGACATTCTAAGGTTTGTATCATTCACAACTAAAGTTGCCAAATAACTATAAATCTAGCATATAGGACCTGTTTCAAATGATCACTTTTATGTTCAACATAGCCACTTCATATGCGCAGTCGCTCCATAATGGGAAAAATATAAATGATATTATTTTTACTATAAAATAATATAAAATAAAATAATGGCACAGGACTTATAAGCATACCGTATCTTGTCAGCTAAATGAACACGCATACATCCTATGGCATGGAACATAGCCAGATACTGTAACATATAAAATAAAATGAAATTGTATTTGTCACATGCACTGAATACAACAGGTGTAGACCTTACAGTGAAATGCTTACTTACAAGCCCTTAACCAACAACGCAGTTTTAAGAAAGAATACCCCCAGAAAATCACACAAACAAATACAATATAAAATAATAGGAAATAAAATTAACAAATCATTAAAGAGCAGCAGTAAAAATAACAATAGCGAGGCTATATACAGGGGATACTGGTACCAAGTCAATGTGCAGGGGCACCGGTTAGTCGAGGTAATTGAGGTAATATGTACATGTAGGTAGAGTTATTAAAGTGACTACAGCAGCGTAAAAGAGGGGGGAGGGGCAATGCAAATAGTCTGGGGAGCCATTTGATTAGATATTCAGGAGTCTTATGGCTTGGGGGTAGAAGCTGTTTAGAAGCCTCTTGGACCTAGACATGGCGCTCCGGTACCGCTTGCCGTGTGGTGGCAGAGAGAACAGTCTATGTCTAGGGTGGCTGGATTCTTTGACAATTTTTAGGGCCTTCCTCTGACACCGCCTGGTATAGAGGTCCTGGATGGCAGGAAGCTTGGCCCCAGTTGCCATACCAGGCAGTGACGCAACTAGTCAGGATGCTCTCGATGGTGCAGCTGTAGAACCTTTTGAGGATCTGAGGACCCATGCCAAATCTTTTTAGTCTCCTTAGGGGGAATAGGTTTTGTCGTGCACCACTGTCTTGGTGTGCTTGGACCATGTTAGTTTGTTGGTGATGTGGACACCAAGGAACTTGAAGCTCTCAACCTGCTCCACTACAGCCCCGTCGATGAGAATGGGGGCGTGCTCGGTCCTCTTCTTTTTCCTGTTGTCCACAATCATCTCCTTTGTCTCGATCACGTTGAGGGAGAGGTTGTTGTCCTGGCACCACAAGGCCAGGTCTCTGACCTCCTCTCTATAGGCTGTCTCATCGTTGTTGTCGGTGATCAGGCCTACCACTGTTGTGTCATCGGCAAACTTAATGATGGTGTTGGAGTCGTGCCTGGCCATGCAGTCATGAGTGAACAGGGAGTACAGGAGGGGACTGAGCACACACCCCTGAGGGTCCCCCGTGTTGAGGATCAGCGTGGCGGATGTGTTGTTACCTACCCTTACCACCTGGGGGCGGCCCGTCAGGAAGTCTAGGATCCAGTTGCAGACGGAGGTGTTTAGTCCCAGGGTCCGTAGCTTAGTGATGAGCTTTGAGGGCACTATGGTGTTGACCGCTGAGCTGTAGTCAATGAATAGCATTCTCACATAGGTGTTCCTTTTGTCCAGGTGTGAAAGGGCAGTGTGGAGCGCAATAGAGATTGCATCATCTGTGGATCTGTTGGGGCGGTATGCAAATTGGAGTGGGTCTAGGGTTTCTGGGATAATGGTGTTAATGTGAGCCATGACCAGCCTTTCAAAGCACTTCATGGCTACAGACGTGAGTGCTACGGGTTGGTAGTTATTTAGGCAGGTTACCTTAGTGTTCTTGGGCACAGGGACTATGGTGGTCTGCTTGAAACATGTTGGTATTACAGACTCAGACAGGGAGAGGTTGAAAATGTCAGTGAAGACACTTGCCAGTTGGTCAGCGCATGCTCAGAGTACACGTCCTGGTAATCCGTCTGGCCCTGCGGCCTTGTGAATGTTGACCTGTTTAAAGGTCTTACTCACATCAGCTACGGAGAGCGTGATCACACAGTCATCCGGAACAGCTGATGCTCTCATGCATGTTTCAGTGTTACTTGCCTCAAAGCGAGCATAAAAGTGATTAGCTCATCTGGTAGGCTCATGTCACTGGGCATGGTTGTGCTTCCCTTTGTAGTCTGTAATAGTTTGCAAGCCCTGCCACATCTGACGAGCGTTGGAGCCGGTGTAGTACGATTCGATCTTAGTCCTGTATTGACGCTTTGCCTGTTTGATGGTTCGTCGGAGGGCATAGCGGGATTTCTTATAAGCTTCCGGGTTAGAGTCCCGCTCCTTGAAAGTGGCAGCTCTACCCTTTAGCTCACTGCGGATGTTGCCTGTAATCCATGGCTTCTGGTTGGGGTATGTACGTACAGTCACTGTGGAGACGACGTCATCGATGCACTTATTGATGAAGCCAGTGACTGATGTGGTGTACTCCTCAAAGCCATCAGAAGAATCCCGGAACATATTCCAGTCTGTGCTAGCAAAACAGTCCTGTAGCTTAGCATCTGCTTCATCTGACCACTTTTTTAATTGACCGGGTCACTGGTGCTTCCTGCTTTAGTTTTTGCTTGTAAGCAGGAATCAGGAGGATATAATTATGGTCAGATTTGCCAAATGGAGGGCGAGGGAGAGCTTTGAATACGTCTCTGTGTGTGGAATAAAGGTGGTCTAGAGTTTTTTTCCCTCATTTAACATGCTGGTAGAAATGAGGGAAAATGGATTTAAGTTTACCTGCATTAAAGTCCCCGGCCACTAGGAGTGCCACCTCTGGATGAGTGTTTTCCTGTTTTCTTATGGCTGTATACAGTTCATTGAGTGCGGTCTTAGTGCCAGCATCGGTTTGTGGTGGTAAATAGATAGCTACGAAGAATATAGATGAAAACTCTCTTGGTAGATAGTGTGGTCTACAGCTTATCATGAGATACTCTACCTCAGGCGAGCAAAACCTTGAGACTTCCTTAGATATCGTGGACCAGCTGTTGTTTACTAATATACATAGACCGCCACCCCTTGTCTTACCAAAGGCTGCTGTTCTATCCTGCCGATACACTGTATAACCCGCCAGCTCTATGTTATTCATGTCTTCGTTCAGCCACGACTCGGTGAAACAGAAGATATTACAGTTTTTAATGTTCCGTTGGTAGGATATACGTGCTTGTAGTTCGTCCGCTTTATAATCAAGTGATTGTAAATTGGCAAATAGTATCGATGGCAGAGGCTGATTAGCCACTCGTCGCCGGCTCCTTACCAGACGCCCCGATCTCCTTCAGCGATATCTCTATTTCTTTCTACTGCTAATGAATGGGATAAGGGCCCTGTCGGGTGTCTGGAGCAAATCCCTCTCGTCCGACTCATTAAAGAAAAAGTATTTGTCCAGTTCAAGGTGAGTAATCGCTGTTCTGATGTCCAGAAGCTCTTTTCGGTCATAAGAGACGGTAGCAGCAACATTATGTACCAAATAAGTTACAAACAATGTGAAAAAACACACAAAATAGCACGGTTGGTTAAGAGTCCATAAAACATAGACCTACAAAACATAAGCCATCTCATATTATTTTCTTCTGAAATACATTTTCTTCATATCATAATGTTTTTTTTAGACCTGACTAAATTAAATAATGGTTTTATTGTGATGGTGTAGCCTACATTGAAGGCACGCATCAGCGGCTTGTATGGGTGGAGGCCTGTAGATGCTAAACATATTATGTTAATTAAGGTTACATTAGCGCGAGACCAGCAGTCGTTTGCATGACAAGAACCTGCTGACAAAATGTAATGACCGCCACAGCCCTAGGCAGTCGCAAGTCACAATATTGTCAGTACACATGTTTGTTTGCTGAAGTTGTTGTGGCTGCAGGCCTTTGTGTGTAACAAGCCTGTGTGTTTTCCTCCCCCTTAGCTCTGGACAGGCCTCAGGGTCTTTCTGCTGTCAACGTCACTGACACAACCGCCCAGCTGCTATGGCAACCCACTCGGGCCACTGTCGATGGCTACGTCATCACCTACAGTGCAGATTCAGGTGTGTGTGTTTCGCAAGAGTCCCAAGGCACAGATTGCCAGGAGCTGACTTGTATTTGTGTACATGATGCATTTATCATTAGCCAAAGAGACACAGCACAACAGGAGTGTTGGTAGTGGTAACATTGTTCTCTGTCCTCTGTTGTCTGCAGTGTCCCCAGTGATGGAGCATGTTTCTGGGAACACAGTGGAGTTTGAGATGGGCTCTCTGGTCCCTGCCACCCACTACACAGTTGGGGTATACGCCATGAGGGAGGCACAGAAGAGTGGCACCACCACCACCAAATTCACCACAGGTAGCGCTCCAATTAGATGTTTTATATAGGAGCATTGGGTCTGATTTTCAATGAAAAATCTAACTCTGTGTGTAGTATTTTATTGTTCACACATTTTATTCTGTGCAGTATTGTATTGTCCATAAATTAAATAATAAAGGGAAAATCCACTCAAACACAATCTTTTGGCATTTTGCATCATTATGATGATGTGGCCGGTGACATTTTGCTTCTTGAAAGTAAAATATCTTAAAAACTTGACTGCTCACATGCAAAACATGTTGCTACTGTATCAACAGTGGTCTAACTAAAAAAATTCCCAAAAGATCGCTTTTGAGGGGATTTTCCCTTTTACATGGGTTACATATCATATGTAACACATGTATAATATAGTGTTGTGTATATGATCCTTCCACCTCCCTTTTTTGTCTGTAGATGTGGATTCTCCTCGTGACCTGGTGGCCAGTAATGTCCAGACAGACAGTGCCACTCTCACTTGGAAGCCCCCGCGTGCCGCCATCACCGGATACGTCCTCACCTTCACCTCATCTGACAGCACAGTCCGGGTACGTAGGTCTTTAAATGAGTCAGCACACACTGGCTTCAATTCAATCAATCACTCTTGGCTATTTTACAGGTACATTTTCCAAAGTGATTTACATTATGAATAAAGATTGAATTGATTTGAATACAGGAAGTGGTCTTGAGCCCTACATCCACATCATACAGCATGACTCAGCTGAGTGGCACTACCGAGTACAACGTCAGGCTACAGGCCATCGCTGGAGCCCAGCGGAGCCACCACGCCACCACCGTCTTCACCACCAGTAAGTAGACTGCTACACAACATTTTCTTCTCCTCACAGCTTTACATTGGGCAGATGTCAAATGATATCCTATTTCCTATGTAGTGCACTGTTTTTGACAAGAGTGAGTGTGTACACGTGTCTGCCTGTGCGTGTAGCCGGAGTGTTGTACAGATACCCTAAGGACTGCTCGCAGGCTCTGCTGAATGGAGACACTACCTCTGGCATCTACACCATCTACCTGGGAGGAGACGAGAGCCAGCCCATCCAGGTCTACTGTGACATGACCACTGATGGAGGCGGATGGATGGTGAGGAACACACACACACGCACACACACACAGGTCTAAACACCAGGTTTGATTTGATTTACCTTTACATGTTTGTGAAAGCCAAAGAGACCAGGGCTTGCATGACAGGTTCTGTGAACTCTCTTTTACAGGTGTTCCTGAGGCGCCAGAGTGGAAAGCTGGAGTTCTTTAGGAACTGGAAGAATTACACTGGTGGCTTTGGGGATATTAATGCTGAATTCTGGTTTGGTGAGTCCACATCTCTCCACCCCTCCTTATGTTTCTCTTTTTATTCAGTATTTGTGGCACATGCGGGAATCAAACCACAATCCTGGTGTTGCATCACCATGCTCCAACCAATTGAGCCATCTAATCAAATCAAATCCAATTTTTTTGGTCGCATACACATATTTAGAAGATGTTATTACAATTGTAACAAAATGCTTGTGTTCCTAACTCCAGCAGTGCAGTAATATCTAACAATACACAGATCTAAAAGTAAAATAATGGAATTAAGAAATATATTAATATTAGGACGAGCAATATCATAGTCCGGAGTATAAATATATATATATATATATATATATATATATATATATATATATATATATATATATATATATATATATATATATATATATATATATATGTGATGGGATGTATAGACATTATAGACATTATGGACAGTATGTGGATAGAATATTTAGTATATCTGTAGAATACGTAGAATAGTGTATATATACAGCAATACTTTAATAGGATGGCATTGACTAGAATACAGTATATACACATGAAATAAGTAAAACAGTATGTAAACATTATTAAAGTGACCAGTGTTCCATTATTAAAATGACCCGTGATTCCATGTCTATGTACATAGGGCAGCAGCCTCTAATGTGCAGGGTTGAGTAACCGGGTGTAGCCGGCTAGTGACAGTGACTAAGTTCAGGGCAGGGTACTGGACGGAGGCCGGCTAGTGAGTGCTATTTAACAATCTGATGGCCTTGAGATAGAAGCTGTTTTTCAGTCTCTCGGTCCCAGCTTTGCTGCACCTGTACTGACCTCGCCTTCCGGATGATAGCGGGTGAACAGGCCGTGGCTCGGGTGATTGAGGTTCTTGATTATCTTTTTGGCCTTCCTGTGACATCAGGTGCTGTAGGTGTCCTGGAGGGCAGGCAGTGTGCCCCCGGTGATGCGTTGGGCAGACCGCACCACCCTCTGGAGAGCCCTGCGTTTGCGGGCAGTGCAGTTGCCATACCAGGCAGTGATACAGCCAGACAGGATGCTCTCAATGGTGCATCTGTAAAAGTTTGTGAGGGTTTTAGGGGCCAAGCCAATTTCTTCAGCCTCCTGAGGTTGAAGAGGCTCTGTTGCACCTTCTTCACCACACTGTCTGTGTGGGTGGAACATTTCAGATCGTCAGTGATGTGTAAGCCAAGGAACTTCTCCACTGCAGCCCCGTCAATGTGGATGGGGTTGTGCTCCCTCTGCTGTCTCCTGAAGTCCACGATCAGCTCCTTCATTTTGTTGTCGTTGAGGGAGAGGTTATTTTTCTGGCACCACTCCGCCAGGGCCCTCACCTCCTCCCTGTTGGCTGTCTCGTCGTTGTTGGTAATCAGGCCTATTACTGTTGTGTCGTCTGCAAACTTGATGATTGAGTTGGAGGCGTGCGTGGCCATGCAGTCATGGGTGAACAGGGAGTACAGGAAGCGGCTGAGCACGCACCCTTATGGAGCCCCTGTGTTGAGAATCAGCATAGTGGAGGTGTTGTTTCCTACCTTCACTACCTGGGGGCGGCCCGTCAGGAGGTCCAGGACCCAGTTGCACAGGGTGGGGTTCAGACCCAGGGCCCCAACACAGGAACCACGGAATGGCACTGTGATGTCCTTTCCTGTTGTTTCAGGTCTGGCCAACCTCCACAAGATGACAACAGCAGGCCAGTACGAGCTGCGTGTGGACCTGAGGGACAACGGGGAGTCGGCCTATGCTCAGTATGACAAGTTCACCATCGCAGAACCCCGCAGCCGCTACAAGATGCACATAGGAGGGTTCAGCGGCACAGCAGGTAAGGACAATGATGATAATAGCTTTGTTTACTAGTGATCCTGCATAGAACATAAAATCAAATCTGGATTTCATTCAACTCCATTTAAATATCCCAATACACTTTACAGTAAACTGTATAACTCTGATTGACCTATTCACATTTCTTCACACCAGTCACTGTGTGCCACTTGTTTCCTAGGTGACTCTATGACTTATCATCAGGGCCGGCCCTTCTCCACGTATGACAATGACAATGACATCGCCGTCACCAACTGTGCCCTGTCCTATAAGGGTGCCTTCTGGTACAAGAACTGCCATCGTGTCAACCTTATGGGGAGATATGGTGACGATAGTCACAGCAAGGTACGGATGTGTGACCTACAAAGTATTGGCCGTCTTTCTCCTTCACAAAATCAACGTGTGTGTGTGTGTGTGTGTGTGTGTGTAAAAAATTTATCCTTTTTTCAGGGTATCAACTGGTTCCATTGGAAGGGACACGAGCATTCAATACAGTTCGCCGAAATGAAGATTAGACCCGTCAACTTCAGAAACGTTGAAAGTCGAAGGAAAAGATCATAGACTTTATACTGCCCCCCCAGCTCTCTCCCCCCCCCATCTCCCCATCTCCCCTTGACCCTCCTCTGACCCTCAATCTTCAGTTCACCAAGCCGCACATCAAGCAAGGACAATCATGTAACTGAATGTGTTTTTATCCAACTAGCTGTCAATATTGGGATGGATACGTTAAACCAAAGACGGCACAATCTGATTGGCGGGAGAAAAAACATTTGTTTGGTGGAGGGTTTAGAATGGACTGAATTGGCACTTTTGTGTGTTTGATTTATTTTATTGTTTGTGTTCATTGGAAAATTGACAAGCAAAACATGTCTCCTTATAGGTCCAAAGATATTTCAATATGCTAATTAGGAATAAGGCAGATTGATTATGAAATGTGAAACAATGAAAGGGTCAAAAGAGACCTATTCCAACTTTGACTCTTGCTCCTACGTTCTAATCTTCCACACTGTCACGTTCTCTCTCTCTCTCTGGCAGTTGATTGAAAAACTGTCTGAGCATTTAAAACCCGTTGTACATTACTGTAGACAGCACTGTTGAACTTTTCAACAAGCAACATTTCAGAGTCACGTGGTAATAATAACGTGGCTTGATGCCACATCCCTCAGTCTCCCCAAGGAGGGAGAAAATACATCTATTGAGGTTAACAAAGTTTCCCTCGATTCATACAGTAAATCCTTCTACAGACTTGAGGGCAGGACCGACTAAATTAGGCATCATTTGTTTCATGTTGAGTGATTGATATTTAGAATTACATTTTCTATTATTCCCAACCGATTTGAATTTATTAACACTATTTCCACATATACAACAAAGTGGGAAAACTGTTCTTGAGAAGATCATGGTAGGGGTTTCAACCACGGACATAATTGAATACCGGTTTACATGATGCTTTTATTTTGTTTTCAACTGAATTAAAAATAGATTTCTATATGTAACCCTCCATACAATAAAATATACTTTGTTAAAAGGTGTCAGCACTTTTTTGGGCTGCCCATATCAAACATACCAGTACCCTTTACATACAGTACCAGTTTTCTATTAACAGCAGATGGCAGTGTTCAGTCTTCATGTGTTCATGCCTTCATCATAAGAAAAGGACTAATCAGTATGCAACATCACACAGATTGAGAGCATATTAACTAATAGGTCTACAATTTAAATAGCACATTTATTCAACCAACAATAGCACACATCAACTAACTTCTGTAAAAGTGGCTCTTTAATGTTTTTTTGTTTGTAATGTAAGGTAAACAATTAAAAAATAAGCGGAAATCAAAAGGATTCATTATTAGGAGAATACATATACATTTTTTTTGTTGACTGCAAAAAATCAAAGAACCACAGAAGATATCCATGCTAAGGATTTATCACTGTCATCTCAAATGTAGGTTTAGGTTTAATTTATTTGCACCAAAGAAAATTAGTGATAAACAACAATACAGATAAAAACAAATATATAAAAAATGGTGTGCAGGTGTGGTTGGATGCCCAAGGGCTTATATAAAAACCACATCACAAAAAAATATATACAATACATAAATACAAAAAATTAAAAAGGTTAGTTAAAACGGATAACAAAACCCACTAATCATAAATGTGCAAATGAACCGATCAGCAATCGGCAATGTTTTTTTTTAACGTGTGTGTGCATGTGTGGATGTGAGTGTGTGAGAGTTGGGCTACATGGAGGAGATTACTGAGTAGTTTGGTTCATCAGGCTGACCCCCAGTCTTCGCTTGAAGTTATTGAGGGATGATGAGGTTTTGGTAATGTGAAGATAAGAATTCAAAGTATGGTACCTCTGTATCTGATAGAGAATTGACTATGTGAGTTGCGGCAGTGGGGAGGGTGAAGGTTATCTGGAAGAATCCATTGAAGGGTTTAGGTGAACTGTCTGGGAGGTATGAGTATTTGTAGATTAAAATGCATAATTGGCATACATTGATGTCGTAAATAGACAAGATATTGAGTTTCTTAAACAAAGGTGCAGATTAGCCATGAAGTTAGAGGTGGTTAGTCTTGCAAACTTATTTTGTATGATGAGTAATTTGTGTTGGTAAGAGGCATATGTACTGGCACAGACAATATTACAGTAAATGAGATATGGGTAAATGAAGCTATAGTAAAGAGTTAGGAAGCAAGCCTGATGAACCAAACCACTAATCTTTCTGATGATACCAACAGATTGGCAGATCAAATAAGGAATTTGACAAAAACCGAAACAAATCGAACAAATCCACCACTATACTCTTTTGTGGACAGGTCAGTTATCATACAGTGTGAGTCATAATTTCTGTACCACACCATGTTCTACTTGCAGATACTATCAGGCCTCAACTAGCCACATGGTTTTATATCTCTTTTTTTTCTGTTGCTGCTTGATCCTTGTCATTGTGTTTGCATTGTAATCTGGATGAAGCTGGGCCCTGACCTGATTCCTGTCATCCCAATCTAGGCCATGAGATATGCGTGTCCACTCAGACCAGCCAGCTAGATAGATAGAAAGATATAACCCTGCATCAAAGATCCACCGCCACATTTTACAGTAAGTATGAGGTACTTTTCTGCATTGGCTTTGTGTGGCTAAAGACCTCTATTTTCATGTCATTTGACCATAGCACCGCATGGAGTTTGATAAACGGCATTGGCACTTGGATTGGAAGTTCATGATGCCGTTGACCTTAACAATGGCCCCAGAACGCACAACAGTTGTGGGTTTCGCATCGAAAAGAGGAATCATATGCAGAAAAGAACCCCATACCTACTGGATTTTTGATGTTATGAGGGTATTTTGCTTCCACTGGTCCTGGGGCCCTTGTTAAGGTCAACGGCATCATGAACTTTACCCAGTACAATGACATTTTAGCCAAAAACCTGGTTGCCTCTGCCAGGCGGCTGAAACTTGGACGCAAGTGGACCCCAAGCACACATCAAAATCCACAAAGAAATGGTTAATTGACCACAAAATCTAAATTTTGAAATGGCCATCTCAGTCTCTGGACTTGAACCCCATTGAAAACCTGTGGTTTGAATTAAAGAGGGCAGTCCAAAAACGCAGATGAAGGATAACCGCTAGGCTACCTGCCACACTGTACTAACAACATGGTAATTGCAGTCTGTAATTACAGTTTTCAAATTTAATAGTAATGTCTATTACATTGTATACATTATAATTATGTACAGTGCAAAGTATTCAGACCCCTTGACTTTTTCCACATTTTGATACCTTACAGAAATATTCTAAAATTTATTAAATTTGTTTTTTTCCTCATCAATCTACACACAATACCCCATTTTGACAAAGCAAAAACTGGATTTTATACATTTTTGCAAAAAATTGAAAATAGAAATGTCACATTTACAAACAGTGCCTTTTGTTGCATTACAACCTGTAATTTAAATGGATTTTTATTTGGATTTTATGTAATGGACATACACAAAATAGTCCAAATTGGTGAAGTAAAATGAAAAAAATAACTTGTTTCAACAAATTCTAAAAAATTAATAACGGAAAAGTGGTGAGTGCATATGTATTCACCCCCTTTGCTATGAAGCCCCTAAATAAGATCTGGTGCAACTAATTACCTTCAGAAGTCACATAATTTGTTAAATAAAGTCCACCTGTGTGTAATCTAAGTGTCACATGATCTGTCACATGATGTCAGTATATATACACCAGTTCTGAAAGACCCCAGAGTCTGTAATACCACTAAGCAAGGGGCACCACCAAGCAAGCGGCACCATGAAGACCAAGGAGTTCTCCAAACAGGTCAGGGACAAAGTTGTGGAGAAGTACAAATCAGGGTTGCGTTATAAAAAAATATCAGAAACTTTGAACATCCCACGGAGCACCATTAAATCCATCATAAAAAAATTGAAAGAATATGGCACCACAACAAACCTGCCAAGAGAGGGCCGCCCACCAAAACTCACGGACCAGGCAAGGAGGGCATTAATCAGAGAGGCAACAAAGAGACCAAAGATAACCCTGAAGGAGCTGCAAAGCTCCACAGCGGAGATTGGAGTATCTGTCCATAGGACCACCTTAAGCTGTACTCTCCACAGAGCTGGGCTTTACGGAAGAGTGTCCAGAAAAAAGCCATTGCTTAAAGAAAAAAAGAAGCAAACACATTTGGTGTACGCCAAAAGCCATGTGGGAGACTACCCAAACATATGGAAGAAGGTACTCTTGTCAGGTGAGACTAAAATTGAGCTTTTTGGCCATCAAGGAAAACGCTATGTCTGGTACAAACCCAACACCTCTCATCACCCCGAGAACAACATCCCCACAGTGAAGCATGGTGGTGGCAGCATCATGCTGTGGGGATGTTTTTCATCGGCAGGGACTGGGAAACTGGTCAGAATTGAAGGAATGATGGATGGCACTAAATACAGGGAAATGTTTGAGGGAAACCTGTTTCAGTCTTCCAGAGATTTGAGACTGGGACGGAGGTTCACCTTCCAGCAGGACAATGACCCTAAGCATACTGCTAAAGCAACACTCGAGTGGTTTAAGGGTAAACATTTAAATGTCTTGGAATGGCCTAGTCAAAGCCCAGACCTCAATCCAATTGAGAATCTGTGGTATGACTTAAAGATATCTGTACACCAGCGGAACCCATCAAATTTGAAGGAGCTGGAGCAGTTTTGCCTTGAAGAATGGGCAAAAATCCCAGTAGCTGGATGTGTCAAGCTTATAGAAACATACCCCAAGAGACTTGCAGCTGTAATTGCTGCAAAAGGTGGCTCTAAAAAGTATTGACTTTGGGGGGGTAAATAGTTATGCACGCTCAAGTTTTCTGTTTTTTTGTCTTATTTCTAGTTTGTTTCACAATAAAAAATATTTTGCATCTTCAAAGTGGTAGGCATGTTGTGTAAATCAAATGATACAAACCCCAAAAACATCAATTTTAATTCCAGGTTGTAAGGCAACAAAATAGGAAAAATGCCAAGGGGGGTGAATACTTCTGCAAGGCACTGTAAGTATTAAGACCCTTTAC